TTTTAAATTTAACCAAGTTTTTACTTTACTGTACACTGGGGATCTGTGATTCGAGATGAATATGTTGCACAATTATGAGACAATTTTACAGCAATTGTCGATAATCGATAAAAAAAAGGTACATCAATAACATCGTATCGAGAAAATTAAAGTTTCGGTTAAACAGTTGAAGCAAAATCACGTACGATTCGCGCAAAGACGACGTAGACGAAGACGTCGACGATAAAAAAAGGAGAAGAAGCAGCAGCAGCAGCAGCGGGAGGAATCATTCACCAGCGCATACCGCCCAGTTTTAATCTCATTCATAAAGGCTCGAGTTATACATTACACACAATGAAGCATGTACCATTCTCATTTCTCATCTTTGATTACGTGGTCCATTATGCAGGCGCACGCGTGCGCGTGCCACATCTCGCCAGACGGGAGGTGGTTTTTTTCCCCTTTGCCCACATCAGTATTATACGCGCTCGCAACGACACGATGTTGCCAAGAAGGAAACAGGCTTTATACGAGCTTTGTATACGTAAATATGTTCATTTGGCGATGAGAGAGCCTTTTTCGCAGCCGAATGTCGAGGTCTCTGGTTCAGTTCGTTTCTACATATGTACGAAGATCGGAAACGAGGCGATTTTCACACCACTGTGGCACACGTCAATGAAAGCTGCCTGTCCCTAATGATTTTCAACGGAATATCTTCTCCCCCAGCACAATGACAATCGAATATCGAACAAAGAATCGACGTTCTACGTGACAACACGGCATGGTAATGAGTAAACATTTTTTAGTTGAAAAATTTAAAATTATTTAAAAAAAAAAAGGTATAAGAGGATTGCAATTAGTTGAAACCTCGAAACGGAGTACGATGCAGATTTACTTTTATCTACTAAGTCGTGTCCCACGTGTGTATATGACGTACGCGTATATATTTATTGAATATTAGCGAGTTGAAAATATATACGCGAGCAATCATTACGTGAACTTGCTTGCGACAAATATACAGGTATAAATGTATGTATAAAGCGAGAAACCGTACAAATACCAGACCTATTGCATGGGCCAAAGTACGCTTCATCCACGCGAATAAGTCTGTCTAAAGAGGAAATGTGAAATGTACTTGGCAAGAGGCTGGACATTGCCGCATGTGCGCTTGAATAAAAGAAAAGCGATCGATTTTCCAGCACACAGCAGCTATCGAATCGTTGACAGATTCGCCCACATCGATAACGACAGATGCGCAGTAAGATAATAGAGACGATCGTATAGTCGCAAAAACTCTAGAGGATCGCTAATTACTTTTTAATTGTCTTAGATTAATGAGAAAAAAGTCTTTCATAACCAAACGAATGTACTTTTCGTTGTTGTTATGTCAAGACAATAATTACAAAGCATCATCGTACTTTCTAGCAGCTACGCATGGATTAAATATATGTGCTAGAAAAAACTCGAGAGAATTTCAGCAAAAACTTCACCGAGCCGCTAGCTGCAGACATTTATTTTACAAGAGCAAAAAGGTATGAAAACTTTCTCAGGCGGAAGCGAGTGTTTACACCTTGAAATGACCCAAATCCAAAGATTTATAGGAAAGCGAAGTAAACGATTAGCAAAATAAGCGGAGATAAGGCTCGAGTTTCTTTGGAAATGCGCAAATATATCCTATTCGCGAGCGATGCCGTTTAGATGTGCTCGTCATACGCACGCCAAGTCTTATAAGGGAAGGAAAATCCTCGTTTCACGAGGGGTCGTTGTACCTAGAACCGTACATTCGAGCAATAAAAAGAGAGCGAAGAAGACATCGTCAGCGGGGAAAAACACGCGCCCGTCTGCGCCACAAGCCAAACATCACCCCATCTGCTTTATTCTTTGCAATTTTTACAGCCCCTCTGCTGGCACACGGCACAGCACAGCACAGCACACAGACACACGCACCAAGACGAAATACAACGACGACGCCGAGGCACGAAGTAAATGAGTAAGTATATAGGCGCAACGAGACAAGGAGAGCCGAGCTTAGAGCTGGCACAGCGCGTTTTCTCTGCACACTCGTGCGCGACGACGATCTTTTCAAAGCAGAATGTGCTTGTTTGGCCGACGAGAATGGAGACTTAAGGTGTGCTGCGTCAATCAATGAAAATTTCAGAAAAGAAGGAACGAGCGCCTTGTGTACCTACAGTACACGTGAACCCAAGTGTGTACGTGTCTGTAAGTGTGTGTATGTAATACGCGCAATACAAGTCGCGCCGGCTGCTGCTGCCTGCTGCCGCTGGGGTGAGAATCCGGAGCTCCGAGCGCCGCGCGTAGGGATGGTCCATTCGAAAACAGCCGGCTCTAGCTCGGAAAATGGACCAATCCTGCCGGGTTGTTGCAGCGGTCCGTATGCCGGTCGCGGGGGCAACGACTCTCACGCGCGCGCGCCTGGGCTAGCTTACAAAGAGAGAATTACATTCGAGTTTTTGCCGTCTCTAGTTTTTGTCCGTGAAGCTTCGCTGAATAAACGTGTCAAATGAAAACATCGATTTTGGTTGCGATACAATTGGCTGTCACAGCTGACGAGGCTCAGAAATACATAAATGCGTATCTGCGTAGGATCTGTATTGGTACTCGGCACGCAAAGTCTCTATGGAAAAAATAGTCCAGGCGGAGAGCGAGCCGCTAATCGCAAGGTACACATGTGCACAGGTGAAAAGCTAATATTACGGTGTGTATGTACGAACGGAAAGTGTGGGGGAAGAAATACGAAAGATCGACAATCTTTATCGCCTTCGCTCGTTCGCTCGCTCGAAAGGCTCAAGATAAAACTTGGCTCTGTACAACCGTACTGTACGTATGTGCATTTTGCTATGTGAAAGAGTGTCAAGCGTAACACAGGGTACCCACGCAAAAGTCTTGGTATATAAGTCTAGGTACATGCAAAAAAAAACTTTCTTTGTCGTGTCCCTATACTAGCTCGAAAGTATGTCGCGCCGATATTACACGCTAATGTCTATGCAATTCTTTTATTTTAATTTCGCTTCTCAGCCGTCTTAGCGGAATATCAACGGGTTCGTTGCTTGCTCGTGACGAGAAATGCGTACGTCGCGGACTAATTTCGTAATAATCGCACGTAGAAGAGGACAAGGAGGGAAGAGGGGGAGGTTACCACGAGTCTCATATAGCACGTTAAAGTACAATACGAAAATACGAGCGTATAATGACCGAGCCGAAACATTGTTCTCTATGCACAGTCGCGCATAAATCAATCGGCTCTTTTTATATTGCGAAGCTGCGAGCGTTGAACTTGATTTATCATCCACGACGATGTACCTTTCGTTTGGCCGTTCATCCGTGCGATACCGATCATTAGATATGAGTTATGCTTACGCGGAAAAGCTGAAGATTGACGTAGGTATTGCAGAGGAGAGTCTGCGTTATCTGCGCGGTGCACTATACCTTTCCAGTGGAATCGCGAGTGCGTGAGCAAATACGATTATTTTTAGCAGAAATCACTCGGTTTCCTAGACGATTCGAGTTTTCTTTCTTTTCTTTTCTTTTTCCGAGGTCTTCAATTTTTTTTTCGAAACGACTTTCTCCCGCGTGCTCGATCGCGCGTGAAAGTTTCTTTCTGACAGAATAAAAAAAACCGAGCGCAAAAAACAAAAATCTACACGCTTGTTCGGCATTCGGTACCGTTTGTTTACGTCGCCCATCCAAACTCGAACATGCGAAATAATTCATGCAAAGGTGCTTAATGCGAGTCACATGCACGCTAACTGCATGGCGCACACGATCTTGGCATAAAACACACGCACACGGCACACCATATAGGAGCGCACGCGAACGTGTCCGTGTATTTATACGTAAAAAGGCGCGGTACGTACGCGCGCGAGAGTAGTAGTAGTGTGAGAGAGCGAATGATGATGACGACGACTCGACGAGCATCAGCGATATGTATAGGTATAGCTATCTGCTCGTGGAGTCAGAGAGAAAGAGAAGCGCCGTTAAACTGACTCTTGCGAAATTTACCGCGAAAGAACGCGCGCTCGAAGGAGAGAGGGACGACGCGCACGGCGCGACTACCTCACCTGCATATATACATACCAAAAATACGAGTATCATATTTATAACGTGAAAAAATCGAGAGGCGACTTTTTCGGAGTCGTTGAAAAATGCATAGCCCGAAAAGTAAATGTGCTGCCTCCCGAGGAGCAAAGAGCATAAGCCTACTATTAGGTACGATGAACAAATAAATGGGCATGTCGCGCGAGACCTACGGTGTGTTGACCCTTTCATGCACATCGCGATGGATATTACGCACAGCTCGCAGAGTCGCATTGAATGAACGCGAGTAAAGCTAACACGCGGGCCGTCTACTTGACTGTGTGTATAATGTGCATAACAGCAGCAGCAACCAGCAGTTGTGTGTATACATGTACACGCCTTGTCGTCCCGTCATCGTCGTCGTCGTCGTCGTTACAGAATATACACACATATATAAAAAAAGCGAGAAGACACATAATATACAGCTAAATATATGGGCGCTGTAACCCAAATAACGGTATACTATATAAGATACATTCGCGAGCGACTCTTTTCGCGTGCTTCCGTGTGTAAGAGCAATGGTGTGTCCGTGTGGTGTAAAGCCCAAAGTAGCAAAGTGTGTAATATGGTAAGAAGTGGTGTGTAGCAAGCCGCGACTCTCGAGAGAAGTCAAGCTCAACCAAAAATAAACGACGAGTCGTTTCTGCTCTAGGTCTGTCCCAGCCGCAGATGGACAGAATAGTGTATAACACGTCGTGATAATAACCGTATAGAGAAGACGCGCGCGCGTGCACACATAAAGGTGTACTACTACGGATAGTGTAAGGCTGTCTGTAGATTTCATAAAGAGTATAGCTTGCGCTTTACAACCAACTGCTCTGCGTACGCCAGTAGTATATAGGCGATAAGTCGCTTTATGATACAACACGATGCGAGGAAGAGAGAGAGAAAGAGAAAAGTATATGAATAAAAGGAGTCGTGCTCACCTCTCGTCGGAGGGTTCCCTGATTTAAGGCGTGTAATATAGCCAATGGCTTCCTCCCAACTGCTACTTCGCACTTTTCAACTTGATTTCGCTGCTTCTGCTTAACTGCTGCAGTCGTTGTCGTTGTTGTTGTTTTTGTTGTTTTATCTTCTGACAACTCGCGGCAACTCACCTGATAAAAAAGTGAGATTAGACGCTGCACTGCTCTGTGTCACTGGGGGAACGAACTATACGTGGGCAACGATTACGGCACAACGCGCTCATGTTAATATTACATCGGGCGTTTGTAACATGGATGTGTGAACGCGGATATATAGCAGCTCGTCATTCACTATATCCTCGGCACTATAATACTAAAGTGATATCTCGCACACTTTGCGTCGTCGTCGTTGTCGGCTGAGCCTCGACTGCGAAAGCCGCCGTAGTCGCCGCCGCGCGCGAGCCGTGTGTATATCAAACTATATAAATATGTATGTGTGTGTGTGCGCGCGAGTGTATGTGTGTAGGTACTACTGCTATATTGTGGAGTCGTCACACGCGTACCTACATAGATATAGCACGAGTGTAAATGTACGCTTATATCGGTATATGTGTGCCTCTGCTCTTTTTTAGCGCGCCATCTACTCTGCACGCGGAGTCTAGATTCGCTGCGAGCTCGCTCCGGCCAAGCACAGGCCTGCCTGCTGCCTTTCGTTTTTGCACTGACACACACACACACACCTTCGGTGCAGCTATACGTATAAGACAGCCTATATTCAGACTTACATGTGCATCACAACAGTGCAATTTACCTTCTACATGAACATACGCCATGCGTCCGTGCGTGTGTGCGTGTGGGTATCTGTGTGCAACATATATATATGCACGGAACGCGAGCACGCGCGCACAATCGCCAGGCGTAGTTTACAAACATTTGCGCTGAAAAAAAGTGCTCCCGCGGCTCCGCGAGTACGCGCTCTTTTGTCATTCTGATCGCCTCGTGCCGTAGTATTACGATTCAACTTGCTCTCGTACCTATACATAGACAAATTACGCGACCGTTAATGCGATTACGCTCGAGGATTTATTGTTGAATTTATTTTACCAACATTCGGACGTGCATCGAACAATTTTTACGTCTTTGTTTATGTCTTGATGGTTTTTACGCGATGATCGTGAGGTCATGTTCCGGCGGAGAATAAAAATATACATTTTTTTCGAGTTAGCAAGATTATTATGTTTCGATCGATGATACGTGTTCAGAAAAGTATTGGATAATGTAAAACAAACAGCTCCATAAATTATGTACCGACTCGGAGACTAATTGACGATTGCAAAATTCGCCAAACAAAATGTTTACTTGGACCGATTAAAATGATACTCGAAACCATGTAACTCAAAAAGGATTTAAGCACTTATCCTCGGATAAGCAAACAAGAATGAGCTTGAATTATAAATAATCGTGTTATTAAAAATTTGAAAGTATCATTTTCTTTGTCCGGTGTTAAAAGCAAGAATGAAATACGATATTTTTTATTTACTTCTAAAGCGTTTTGGAGCGTGATTCAGGTTAAATTCTGTGATACTTTTCACAAGTCGAGAAAAACAAGTTAATTTCTTTTGCTCCGATAAATCTCTTTGAAGCTCGAAGAGAAAATTTATAAACAGCCACGGTACCTGTGAAAATAGAGGAAGAACAGAATTCGGTGCGAATATACTGCAGCGGGCGTTTTCAAACGCGTGCACGATATACGCGGGGCGCGCGATAGGCTCAATGTATACCTGTCTGTAGTCGAGAGATAGCGCTATAATCAACGGTATCAACGCGCACCGATGGTGTTGTGTGCAGCAGGTATAGGCAGGTAGCTATAAAAGCGATCAATTGCGTTTTCGTACACGAGGATCCGTGGAAATGAGCGCAGCTGCGAGTCATCCAATTTATCGCTGGAATTGCATCGAATTGGGCGCAGATATCGGCGGAGGATTGTTACTTAGCGCTGGAAAAGGCACAACATATGATAAAATCACTGTGTGAGTCGGAAGGACTCGTCGCAGCTAGGCTCCCGTAGACACGCAGGTGCGAGGAACTTCCTGCTGTCTCGCACTATCGCGCACTCAACACACTGCTTTTTACGGGCGTGTAATAGGAGGTACGTCTCGTGAGTAATGCATCGTGAATTCGTGTACCTGCCTGCGTACTTGCGTATATGCCGCCGAAACAATCGACTCGCGAATATCGCGCGAAGAGCGAGTATAGAGTATAGCAGACTCGGGCCGCGGCACTGGACACACGAGCGACTGGGCGGTGCGTCCTGTATGTGTCACACAACCTATCATATTATATATGCACTCTCACACGGTGAACATGCACGTATACGCGCGGGAGGCTATCGTGTACGATCGAGTGGCGTTTCTGTTTATATGTATGTATAACGTGTGTGCAGTGTATTGTGCGTTTGATTGGGAGGATTATAAGAGCTATGTGGAGAACTCACATATGAGAGATGATGCGCGCCGCACGAGCGAATGCCTGTGACTGGGCTGGGCCAGTCGAGCTCGCCGCTCGCAGAAATGCGCTTGGCGCGCATATACTATACTACTATATAGCCCCGCTGTACAGTACGTGCACTTATGTGTATATCCTACACGCAAGTCGCCGCCGCTGACGCCTCGATACGAGACTGCAGATTCTCGCTGCAGTGCAAAGCGCGTGTATTTCGCTGCGTATGGTGGCGATCGCGGCCGCTGTCGTCTATATGCATATAGGTAATGTATATATAAGTACGTCGGCGACGGCGGTGCTGGCGGCGGCGGCGGCGTTTTTCAAGCCAACGTATTCACGCACACACACACACACTATAACATCGTCGCTTTCGTTGTTATTAAAGCTGCACGCGCCAGCAGAGCGGGGGGTACACCTCGACACTCCCTATATATACTCTCCGCGTGTGCAGCAGCGAGTTGCATATATATGACTCTTATGCACACGTCGGCTCGACGTTCCAATTCCGCGAGACGAGCGCCTGAATGTTGTTGTTATTTTGCACTGTGTATATATATTAAGTTGATCCGCGGAAAAGCGTTTCAAAGCGCAGCCCAACCGCCACTTCGAGCGCCTACCGACATCTGGTGGCGTTCGATCATATACCACGTATTAATTGATACGATAGCGACTACAAAAAATGGACTTTATCGACTGATAATCAACCGAGAGACTTATCTTTTGCAGTCACCTGCTAATCGATCAATTGAACTTTCGAGATTTATATTTTATTTAATTAATTAATTTATATCGAAACAGTTCTCGTGGATGCGAGTGCAAATTAATTTTACGATTTTTATCGAGTATCAGTGATTGCAATGAACTCTTTATGCATCGATCAAAAGACTAAACCGTCAGTAATCTTATGAATTTATAGGAAAAATATTCGAGTTGAAATTTAGTCCTGTTCATTCACAAATAACCGAATTCAATACACTAACTTTTTTGGCTCTCTGAATTACCCATGAAAGCAAATTTTGAAAAATATTTCTGAACTAAAAAACTGCAAATCTTTTTTTCGTATTCTAATTTTCGAATACAAAAATTGTTTTTGAATTAATGTCAAGTGTGTAAGAATTTTTAGGCTCAGAATTTTTGTATACGATTTTCAATGTGGCGTTTACAATCTTCTTCAATTACAACATTCATTAACATTTATAAAGTTTAATGAGCTAAATTGAGTTTTTCGTGCAGTTAAAAATCTTTTTTCTGTGCAAAAAAAGATCTTTATTTGTCATGTCATTCATGAAATTTTTCATGTACACCGAGTGCACATCTACTCTGAATGCCACTTTTACGAGATATATTAATTGTTGACACAATTTTGTATACCGTGTCAAGATTGACAAATTGCTAATTCTTTTTATAAACTCTTGAGCAAACGCAATGCCTTTGCACATGCGATCAAATATTGTTTCTTTTCAATTCATTTGACGAATGATTACAAAAAGAAATCATTTCATTGTTACGAAATAAATAAATAATCTCATTCAGTGTGGCGCAACATAGTGAAAGAACACGCTATGCGTTGAAATTTGAAGAGCATCGAATCGTTTGCTATACTACTTTTATGCGTTGGCACAATCATCATCGTTTTAAAGTTGATATTTATCGTGCTGTTATCTTGAAGTGCACCAATTTTTGCTTTTTATATCGTATTCGTACAAAATTAGCACGAAAAACAACATTTTATACGGTGAATATTCGATCGCATCAACTCAGCTCTTAACCATGGGCAAATCATCTTTCTTCTTATTTTATCCTTGTCACAGCCAGATGATTAATTTCGGCAGATTCGATGCGTTACACAGCGAATTCAGTTCGATCGAAAAAATCGGAGAAGCAAAGCTGGATTACGTAAGGAGCGTAGATTGGTATAGTCAGTTTCAAAAATAAACTTCACACTGGATTGACTTTATATGCGCGAATGAAAACAAAACGTCGGGGGCTTGCGGGCATTGTGTCGTCGTGGCGCATCGAATTATCACACTGAACGAGTAGAGATGAACACAGGGACAGGACATTGATTGAAGTTCTGGGAAAAACGTCGGCGACGCATACAAGAGCGCACAAACGCGACTCGCTCTGTGTATGTAGTCTCAATGTTGAATAATTGTGCAACAACTTCCTTCGCGGCCTGGGCCGTATTAAAAACACGAGCCGTGCGAGGCGCGATTTCAATCTCGCCGCGTACTTGTATCGCACGCATGATCCTCTATATGCAAGAGTGCGACGACGCCGACTACGATAGGCGATGGATCTTTGCGTCGAATCACGTAAAATAATTGCCGTCACGTTTTTCGAGTAAAAAAGCCTTTTTTCCTTCGTTATTTATAAAAATAATGCCAAGAGCGTGGCATAAGCGCGTATACGCGTCCGATCTCTCTCTCTCTGTCGTCCATACAATTACATAAACTCACAACGAGTTTGTCATTGACTAGGTATGCACGATGCAGCTGATTGTGCTCTTCGCAAGCTCCGTATTATAATTATATGCGCACGGAAAGAGAAGAGTTATATAGATAAAAGTTTTTTTTTCCTTCGATCGGCTTCGGCTACAGATAATAGCGATAATGCTTATTAATTCGCAATGATGCGCGTTGTTATTATTTACTGGAACTTTTGCCGAGTATCGATTTGTTTCAGCTCCACGCTGTATGCTCGATTCATAGCGATAAAAAGAATCTGGTTGAGTTTCTCGCGCAGTGTCACAATTGAATGGGCTTCGTCGTGTGTGATCGCGAGCGAAAATATATGCTACTCGGGGTCTGCTTCGTCGCTATATATCCAGAGTTGATCGAAACGAATCGAACGAAACTAGAAGAAAGCAATTCAAGATAGCCGGGTGTGCTCGCGATAAATTCCGACGACATTATGCAGTTAGTGCAGGCAATCCTACATAAGTGTCCGGCAGAAGCAGCAGCGGCGCGATTGCCTATAAAACTACATAACGTAGATTAAAAAACGGCCGAGATAAATGCCAATAGTGTGTGTGAGCCCGTGACGAGGTTGCAAATAAATCGCGGCTCTATTCTTTTTCTATATTATATGCACTCGGTGTGCTCGCATGACTGTACACGCTATAACTGAGTACAGAGCAGTGTCACTGTGCAGTAGGCGATACTAGTATACGAGCCATAAAGCGTGCAAACAACGGATTATTGATAAGCGACAGGTGAGATCAAACATCGTAAAAGACGATGGGATCATTTGTTCGCGTCAATTATAGCCGTCGCGCGCAATAAATCAACGTATCCTCGCTATACTATATTTTCAAAAGGTCCAAGAAGAAACTTTGTCTCGGCGGCATTCGAGAAACGATACAAATCTCATCACGAGGGAAACGTGTTGTTTATCGAATCTCGCGCTGTTGTCTGCAGAAAGAGGCTTCTCCCAGGTGCCAGAGGTCCGATAAAGTAGCTAATATCTATAAATACGGAACTCGAGCGATAGCCGATAATAAACGATTATCGCTCGCACATATACGCAAAGGCTCGGGTGCTTATATGCACCCACCCCTCCTTCCTTCGGTATATTCCTATAGGCCAATGAAAGCCTTGCACGCATCGACAGATCGTTTAACGTTATAATGTACGCCATGCGCCGAGCGTTGCGAACAACGCGGTCAACTCCTCTCTCAATAGCGTGTAGAGTATAAAGAATCGCGCGCCGAGTTGGCCAGTCGCGTTTTTTTCGAATACACGCAAAACAACCGCACATATCATACTTTTTGCACTTACAGCACAGGCAGAGATCAGCGGAGTATGTACAGTAGGCGCTCGCTCGACAGCCTATCGGGGGGACAGTATGTAAAAGCGCCGTGGCGACGTATGCACGAGTCAGATTATATATTGGCGCGCGTGCGGCTAAGCACAATATCATCGTGCGTCGACTGTCGTCGAGAACGACTCTGACTTGTACACATTCGCGTTCTCGCGCGGCGAATGAGCGGGGAATCGCGCGCGCAGCCCTTGTCCGTCGCGTATATTTACACAGATATACGTTTGCACATTTAGTAGCCAGTTCTCGCTTATACCTACCTACTCGACTTTGGTATTCTATAATATACAGTCAACGCACACACTCGTGAGCTTGGACTGTATTACGGGTGACTGACGCTGCTGCTGCCGTTTTTCCAAGTTTCAGTTGATAGTAGTTGGTGGTGGCCGCGAGCGAGAAAAACAAGTGCGAAAGAAGAGAGCGAGAAAGGAACGCGATTCAGCGCCTATTTGATAGTTCTTGTTGTGCTGCGTGCGTGTGCGCCTGCAGCGCGAATATAACAGCGAGAATATAGTGGTAGTGACTGGCAAACTATATAGTGTGGACTTTTTTCGAGGTTGGATAATTATTCGCCTCTCTTCTCTCGTATACACATATACGTCCGCAGCTGACTGCGGATAGTGTGCGCGTGCAGTGGTGCTTCGCAGCTTGCATGCACGAGTGCCAGCGAGAGAGAGAGCAGCAAGAGCGAAAAAAGCCAAGGAAAATCGAGAGAGGCTGCCACTAAGAATCTGTGACATCAATGAGGCAAGATGGAGATGAATCACACGATAGACCATTTTTGTGGTTCTAAATTTTGGGTAAGTTTTTCTCTCGCCGTTTTTTTCTCTTCATCCTCCCCGAGCACGACTGCATATATACTGCTCGCTCGTCAGCTCGTGCTCCCTTCGTGCCTCCCTTGCTATGCGCGACTCGCGCATATCTGCAGCGTGATAAACATAGCACGCACGAATATCCGCATCTCTCGCTGCTTTACGCGAATTATTTTCTCGACTCCTGAGGCGTGCTTTTCACCGCCGAGGCCGTGTTTGTATCTATGAATGGGACGTTTCGTCGCCAAGGAGTCGCACGCTTATCTAATGCCAACACACATTACCGAATTATTCCTACAAGCTCGCATGTTTCAAATGTCAAATGATGAATTAAAATCGTAACAATGACCGCGTTGTTTTTGAACACGAGCTGATAAGAGTCGAATTGATAGATTTCAAGTGCTTGTTTATCGGAGAAATGGATATTATATGACCGTTGTGAAGATATTATACGCAACGTTTTTTTTGTCGCTGCAAGCCTACCTATAAATCGTGCGTATCGCTCGCAAAGGCTTGTCGGTCCGCACATGAATAAACACAAATTACCGATTATATGCGGTCAATTGATTTCAATTTCTTTTCTTATGATTTTCGCGTGTATCGTTCATTCTTTTTATGCCATGCTAACTTATTAGACTCCGTGCTAACTGACCAATTGTACTCTTCATAATACTCGTGATTGATATGCGTTATCTTTTTTAGAACAAGCACTTTTTCATCTTTGCTAGATTATAAGTTGTGGGCAGCACTAATGTCTTTTATACAACTTGGAAATAAACTTTTCTGTGCTACTATTATGCAATAACTTATTTAGGAGTTTTATTCTGTAACATAAAATTCTTTAGTATTTTATGACTTTTGAGTTTATTTCAGTTTTTTAATACATTTTTGTTCAAAAATACCTAGTAATTGATTCTTCAGTTATGATTTTTCGAATAACCAAAATTATTATAACAGTACCAATAGTTATTTAGTTGGCGTTATGAAATTTAATCCCCGTGAGAATATCAATCTTCATTTGGCTTTACAAGTCTTGAGCTATGATTGATCATAATTAACCTAAATTGAAGCTCACTTTACTGTAAAGAATAAAAAGATTGTGGAACTTATTGTTGATGCTTCAATTACATTTGTAAAAAAATATTTTTTAAGCATTTATTTTTTTTTGTATTTAGCAATATTTTTAGTACTTTCATTTCTTCAATTAATTTTTACAACTTATTTTCAAATTTTGCAGGACTTTGATATATCATGGAATACAGATGATCCAGATTTAACAAGTTGTTTTCAAAAGACAGCTTTAATCTGGGCACCATGTTTCTTCTTATGGATATTTTCATCATTCGAAGCCTATTACTTGGTGAACAGCAGCAAAAAAAATGTTCCATTATCATGGTTATTCATCACAAAAACTGTCTTTACCGTAGCATTAATTATATTGACAATTATGGATTTGGGTAAAGCTATCATAGACATTGCAAATGGTCTTGAAGTCTATGCTGTAGAGTATACTACGCCATGTATAAAAATAATTACTTTTGTAAGTTTTCACAGTATTTATATTTCTTGCTACAATGTAACAAAAATATGATAACTAACTTATTCAAATCTTTGTCCAATAGGTAATAGCAGAAGTTTTGATGTTTTATAATAAAAAGTATGGCATGAGAACATCTGGTTTATTATGGATGTTTTGGTTCTTCCTTTCCCTGTGTGGTATAGTTCAATGTAGAAGTTTATTAAGGAAAGATTCTAGTGAAGTGAGTACAATTTGAATTTATATTCGATTAAATTTGATCTACTTAATTTATTAAAATACCTTGTTCTAGATTGAATCGATGTATGAATTTGTATCATACATGATATACTTCCCAATAGTGATATTATTGTTCCTACTAAACTTTTTGGTTGATTCAGAACCTTTGTATTCAAAATATCCAGCTGTAAGTTTTAAATGTTTTTTTCTGTGAGTTGGTATAATCATAACTTAGATGTCATTTTTATAATTAGGTTGAGAAACCATGTCCAGAACAATCAGCATCATTCCCATCTCGTCTTACATTTGGATGGTTTGACTCATTAGCATGGAAAGGTTTTAAACATCCTCTTCAAACCTCTGACCTGTGGTCCATGAATCCAGTAGATATGGCTAAAGAAATTGTACCTCGATTTGATAAATACTGGGCAGAAAGTCTGCAGAAAGTTGATAAGTAAGTATTTCTTTGAATTTTTCTTCAAGCATAGTATATAATGTATATAATGTTATTATATAATAGTATATAATGTTATTGTTATCTATGATGGTCTAAGTTATTATTCTTACTAATTATTAAATTAAATTATTATGAAAATTGTTTTTTAATTATTTGCTCTCAAGGCATTTTTGGACAAATCGTGAGTATGAATATTAACACACTTTAGAACATGATTATTTTAATGTTAGAATTAGTTTATATTGCTTTTTAAATGTAAAGAAAATTTTTCTAGCACTCGAGGAGCCAAAGCAACATTTCGAAAATCCTCTGGTCAAGTGGACTTTAATAATGGTAAAAAAAAGAAAATGGCTTCAGTCTTACCTCCACTCTGCAAAGCTTTTGGACCTATATTTTTATTTGGCGTGATGTTAAAAGTTGTTCAAGATGTTATGACTTTTATAAGTCCTCAAATTTTAAGGTAATTCATCATTAAATTATCAATTATGTAAAACTATTGTTTATACAACCAAATAGAGTTGTATTGAATTAAAAAAAATTCTTATATGTAAGAAAAAAGCAAAACTTAGGGAAAGAAAATATTCTATGCACTGAATTAAATAATGTAAAAATTTTTTTTTACCAGTTTACTCATTGACTTCACATCCACAAAAGATGTACCTGTGTGGAAGGGCTATTTCTACGCAATTTTGCTTCTTTTAACAGCTGTAATTCAAACTTTGGTTCTCTCCCAGTACTTCCACCGCATGTTTTTAGTCGGCCTCCGCATGCGAACGGCCCTTATAGCAGCAATTTACCGCAAAGCCTTAAAAATGTCGAATTCGGCTAGAAAAGAATCTACAGTTGGTGAAATAGTCAATTTAATGTCTGTAGATGCCCAAAGATTTATGGACGTCACGGCGTACATAAATATGATTTGGTCGGCGCCTTTACAAATAGTCTTGGCCTTGTACTTTTTGTGGAATAGTTTGGGACCTTCTGTGCTATCCGGTCTGGCGGTGATGATAATTTTGATACCTGTAAATGCGCTGCTCGCCGGGAAAGTGAGAAATCTACAAATCAAACAAATGAAAAATAAAGATGAAAGAGTCAAACTTATGAATGAAGTATTGAATGGTATTAAAGTTTTAAAACTTTATGCTTGGGAGCCTTCTTTTGAAGAACAAATTTTGCAAATTAGAAATAAAGAAATTAAAGTACTTAAAGAAGCTGCATATCTTAACGCCGGTACTAGTTTTATATGGTCTTGTGCACCATTTTTGGTAAACTATCATTTTATATTTGATTTTTTTCAGTTTGCTTGAACATAAGATGTAAAAAAAATTTTAATTCAATTTTTTAGGTGTCTTTGGTGTCATTTGCAACATACGTTTTAGTTGACGAGAGCCACGTTTTGGACAGTAAAAAAGCTTTTGTTTCACTCAGTTTATTCAACATACTAAGGTTCCCACTTTCAATGTTGCCAATGATGATTAGTAATGTTGTACAAGTTAGTTCATTTTCTTCATGTAATTTTAATTCAAGGATAATATTCAATCAAATGATTAATAATTTTTTCAGGCGTCAGTTTCAGTGAAACGTATCAACAAGTTTATGAATTCGGAAGAGTTGGATCCGAACAATGTACAACATGATCCAAGTGAAGGTATAACAACAATTTTGTATCTATTTCTTTAAAAAATTTTTGAATTTTACATACCTTGCTACTACATAAAAAAAAATGTTAAAAAATGTTACGTTTCAGCAAATCCATTGGTCATCGAAAACGGCAACTTTACATGGGATTCGGAGTCTTCGGAAAGTAAACCAACTTTACAAAACATCAATTTGAAAGTAAAACAAGGGCAACTAGTTGCTATTGTAGGAACCGTGGGTTCTGGTAAAAGTTCTTTAATATCTGCACTTCTTGGAGAAATGGATAAAATCAGTGGCAGGGTGAACACAAAAGTAATAATTTTTTTAATATTGTTCAATGAAATTTTTAAAGAATTTTTTAATTCACCATTATTCTGTAAAATAATTGAATTTTAAATAATCTTTCTCGTTGGATTTAGGGTTCAATTGCCTATGTTTCTCAACAAGCTTGGATTCAAAATGCAACCCTTCAAGATAATATTCTATTTGGAAAACCACTTGACAAAGCTCTTTACCATCGGGTCATTGAAGCTTGCGCTCTATCTCCGGATTTAAAAATGCTTCCTGCTGGCGATCAAACTGAAATCGGGGAAAAAGGAATAAATCTTTCTGGAGGTCAAAAACAGCGCGTTTCCCTCGCTCGTGCAATTTACAATAATTCAGATATTTACTTCCTGGACGATCCTTTAAGTGCAGTCGATTCGCACGTGGGAAAACATATTTTTGAAAATCTCATCGGACCTCATGGTCTCATGAAGAAAAAAACCAGAATCCTTGTTACTCATGGAATAACGTACTTACCTGAGGTCGACAATATTGTGGTGCTTAAAGATGGCGAAATTAGTGAAAGCGGTACTTACAAGGAACTGCTAGAAAAACGCGGTGCTTTTGCCGATTTTTTGGTGCAACATTTACAAGAAGGTATTTTTTAATTCTACCAGAAAATTTTTTATTTTTTACACATATATTAAATTTGAATTAATTATATTTTTCATGGAACTAAGTTGGAAATCGTAAGTCGCTCAGCTAAATTAAATTGTAGTTTGATCCCTATAATTTTTATACGATATGATGCGACAGTACCGTACTCGTTTGAAATTTTGTTTTGATTGTATGTTCACGTAATTCTTAAAAATGTCCTAGTTTTATATTGAAAATAAGCTTATTGATGTGATGTTTTTTAGAAAACTGTATTTACTCCATTCCATTTTGAAGACATTATACCAAAGTAGTCCTAAAAGTTTGTGAAAATCTTAAGTTTTTTACATTAATTTTTTTATGATTTTCAATAGTAAAATCAGAAGAAGAGGATACTGAAGATCTACTCGAAATAAAACAAAAACTTGAAACTACAATTGGTAGTGAAGAGTTACAACAAAGAATAAATCAGGCAAGATCAAGAACATCTGTCAGTGTTAGCGAAAGTGGTTCGCTAGCGGACAGGCGTTCGTTAAATGGATCTTTACATCGGTAATCATATTTTTTATACAACATTATGGAAAATTTAGAATTTTATGCATTAACCAAATTTCATTTTAGACAACCTTCTACCGATAGTCAACAGTCGTTGAGTCCTCTCAGAAGTAATAGCGTAAAAAATAAAGAAGAAGTTCAATATAAAGTTGGAGAGAAATTAATTGAGACTGAAAAAGCAGAAACTGGTAGTGTGAGTATAATTAATTTGTGTGACAGAATTCTCTTATCACTCTATCAATTTTGAATCAATGACACCATGATATTTTTAGGTCAAATGGAAAGTATATTCACATTATTTGAAATCGATTGGATGGTTTTTGGCTATATCTACAATCATCATGAATGCAATCTTTCAAGGATTTAGCATTGGCTCTAATGTCTGGTTGAGTGTTTGGGCTGATGACCATCATTATATTAATAAAACTATTGAGGGAGTAATGATGAATGTAACAGATCCAAGTTACCGTGATATGTATCTGGGAGTATATGGTGCCCTAGGCTTGGGCCAAGGTATGTTTTCATATAAAATGATGAATTTATTTTATAGAAAATATTAATTTTTTACCATATTGGATGTGAAAATTTATAACTATTATTTTGATTTATTACAATGATTAATACGGTTTTTAGTTATAAAAAAATAATTATACGGTTTTTTTTACGTAAATGGTTATATATTTACAAAATTGTAGAATTTCGATATAATCAACTAATAGTTCTAGCATAGGGAAAGTGTGGTTTGCTGTGTTTCCAAAGAATTATTTAATAATTTATTAGACATTTAATTTTTTCAATTTTTCAATATTCTCAACGTGAAACATCATAAAATGTCTTGTTCAAGTAGATTAATTTGCCAAAAGCTTTTGAATATTGATTCATATAATTTATGATTTATTCTGTACATTATTTTACAGCTGATGTTTTAATCTGTGCATGAATTACCCCCTTTTTATTAGTTTTTTATACAAAATTCTATTTACGTTACTTGCATATATAGATATACATAATAACTAGATGATCTCAATATCCTTTTTTCACTATTTTTCAGTTTTCGTAACAGAAATATTCATTGAAAATAGGTGTAATTAAATGTTAATTATTTTTCATATACAAATACTCGATTTTTATTAACAATTATAAAATTTAAAACATCTAAATGAAGAATTTAATCAAAATAACCTTCGAGAAAAATTATATAATTAAAATTGAATCAAGCTTGCTTATTAACCCCTAAATACGATTAATAAGCACTGTACAGATTCATAATATTACGTCCCGCTTGCCGTACCAAAAATTAATTATTCATCAAATAACTGCACACGATTAGCAATTTATGATAAGTACTGTATACTGCATTGGAAATGAATTTTCAGCAACGTTTGTGTTACTGGCGCAACTGACGATGGTTAGCGGCTGCCTCCGTTGCAGTTATTTACTGCATTACAAACTATTGTTCGGCATTCTGCACTCGCCGATTGGATTCTTTGATACCACTCCATCAGGCAGAATATTAAATCGTTTCGGAAAAGACGTTGATATAGTTGACAACGTATTGCCACCCAACATTAGAGCTTGGTTATTTTGTCTCGTGACGGTATGTGGGACTTATTAAAGATCTCACATTTATAAAAAAATGAAATGCACCAATAATAGTTTTTTTGCAAATCAATTGAAACTCCATTAAAGTATATTTGTAAAACGGAAGCTCAAGTAATTTTTGGCACGTTTTCGTTGCCAAATATTATTTGCGATTAAATTTTTAACTTTAATATTACGATATTCATCCACGCCACTACTGTAAGGTACGTGGACTAACAAAAGATTTAACCGGCTTTACACGCACACATTTACAGTTATAAAGAATCACTTTTTTGGTCCACCAATCACTACCAAAAACAAAGAGAAATTCACCTAAATACAAGACTGAATTTTTCTACCGAGCATAGCGAGTATAGACAATGCATTGAGTCCATATTTAACTCAATACAACAGTACAACAAATAAAAAAAATTTCATTCAAAACAGAGAAAATATATAAGACATTTTCTCTTAACACGTGTGCAGTATTAACAGTTAATTAGTCAATAATTAGTATCCCATTCCAAAGCACAGCAGCACTTCCTTATGAAAACAGCATACTAGATAGGGCGATACTTTTTAGTTTAATAATAATATATGTAAATGTGTAAAAATATTACTTTTTTAAAAATTTCACGTAGATTTTTCCGCAACACCAATTATATGACACATTTTTATAGCTTTGACCAATTTCATTAGTTCCTTAAGCATCGCACTTGGATCTGTGATTGCTTCCAAAGAAATTTTCGAGCACGTCATTCATAATGTTTTTCGTAATCCATCGTCGTTTTTCGACACCACCCCGACTGGTCGGATTCTCAGTCGGCTTGGTAAAGACGTTGATACAGTTGATAATGTTTTGCCGATGATGATGCGTGCCTGGATAGCTTCCTCTTTTTCGGTATGTCGTATATGAAATTTTCCTCCACGACACTTCGGAAACGAAAAAAAAAATCATCTAGCTCAGCGTGCTTTACGATCGAGGTGCTGGCGTAACATCTTCGTTTTATAGACGCACTTATGAAATCGATATGTTAATTGTAAATTAATTCACAGCTTATAAAGTGTCTCATGTCTACCAGCTAGAATTAGTTTCATCGATTTATGTATTCTACACCAAGAAAATATAACTTTCTTCCATATGTATCATGTAATACATGAAAATTCGCTAAGTTTCGCACTTGTAAATTGGCTTCTTGTGATGCAGTATTTTTTAGAGAAAAATCAAGCGTTTAACAAACAAAAAATAATAGCAGATAAAGATTTATGAAACTGTTCGATTAAAAAAAATTAAAAAACCAAATTAAATTATAATTAAATTATAAAATATAGAAAAAAATCGTTTGAATCGGATACAGTGAATGGTATTGTTTGCAGTTTTTAGCGTGGTATTCGCTTCATTAGCCGTGCAATTGGGCACTTTGAGCGCGTCAACTCTGATGTTCCGTGAATCTCTCGCCAATACGTTCCGCGGTCCAATGTCGCTGTTTGACACCGTGCCGATCGGCCGCATACTCAGCCGATTCGGTTCCGATATCGATACCATGGATAACAAACTTCCGATGACACTCATACAATGGGTATCTTGCTTTTTTAGGGTAAGCTGAGTGATTCGCGTTCGTGGTCACATTTTTTGTACTTTGAAATTTTTATGTATACGTATATTTTTTTTACAAAAGCATAACAAAAATGACAAAATTTTTTAGTAAAGATATTTTTAACAGATGCTCATTAGCAAAATTACATTATGCAAATAAATTTATGTCAAACTTGAAAAGATACAACGATATGCCGAACTTGGATGATCACGATATATTTCTTGTTAGATTGAAAAAAAAATCTGGTGTACGCAGTATTAGGGGTATACGAAAAAAATCGAAATTTCATTGGAATCAATTTATAAAATGCTGAATTAAAATTAACATGAAATTCTAATATCAGCCATTTTTGTGACGAAATAATCTCAGATATTAGATTTGCACGTTTTTTTTCGCAGTTTTTAAAGGACACAATTATACAAATGATTTATATGGTTCACTAACTTGATTGATATGATAGTTACTGTTTGAATGCTTAGAAGTTTTTCACTGCACTTTTTGTTATGTACTTCATTTTTCTTTTCAATTTTTCATATTAACTCAACTTACTGAACAACCCATTAGCCCTTGTATGCATAACAAGTCTTCATTGAAAATAATAGTCCATTTCATTATACTTTTCTTATCTCTTTTTGTTAAGTCTTCTTAATACGTTCATTTAAAAATATGACTCTTGTGCATGATAACATCCACTTTAATGTTGTCTTAATCTGATGTTGAAACCCAATTTAGTATTTAAAAAAACCGAACAAGCATGCCACAGCAAACTTCACCCCTTTGCCAAAAAAATTCAAAATGAATGAGCCGGAAAACTTTTCAATGGATTATTGCAGTTTAAGTTTCATTATTCATGAATGGTTAAAAACAATCATTTTACTAATGGGATTGTAAATCATATTGAATTTAATTGGAATGAATTATACAAAACTACACGCATTAATTGAGTATTCTGAGCATTGATAAATGTAGCTACACTTATGAATATTCATTAAACGATGGCGTAGTTATTCTTTAGTTTTTTCACTATTTACTAAATGGGAAGCTTCAATTTTTCAAATCAAATGAGCTTTAATGAAGAAAATATTGGAAAATTTATTTTTCGATTTTTACTACAAAATCAAGTATTTCATCGAATTCAGTAGATTTTTTTTTATTAATAATTATATAAACAGTTTGGATGTTGAATGATGTGTCAGGGCACGATGATGGTGGTGTCTCTGTAAAATGTTGTAGCGTTTTCGAGCTTTTTCTGTGACTTGGCTCCGCAGCTGGGCTGCTGGTTGGCCGCACGTCAAATGCACCTTGTCATGCTGCGCGGAGTTATGCGTGCTCCACTGACCTTTTTTGATACGACGCCTATAGGTCGTATTATTTCAAGGTTCTCAAAGGACGTCGATGTTCTGGACGTCTCGCTCCCCCAACAAATTTCTGACACCATCTATTGTACGTTTGAGGTAATAATTTCAATAGACGTCAAAAAACCATGAAGACAAAAATTAGTTGATGATTATTAAAAAAAAAGAAATTAAAATTTTACATGGTAATGAAAAAATGAGCCATTTGGAAAGTTGTAGATTTAAAATTAGAAAGAGTGAATGAACTTAATGTAATTTTAGTATTTTCAGTACATTTATTTTTGCCTCCAGTTATTTTCAAAGATCCTGTAGATTGTTACAAATTTTGCACTATAAATATTAAGTTTAAGTTACATGGATGCATAAAGATAATACTGATAAATTAAATATTTATGCCTCTATTAGTTCTAATTTGGCATAAACACAATTATCATAATTTTTTTTCAATAATCACTAGCTCAAACTAAAACAAAAAATATTTGATTCGAAAAAATTGAGTATGCTAAAAATGATTTAATTTTTATGTTTACTTTCATTCTGGAGGTATGAAACTATGAAAAAATGTTCTAAACAACCTAAATATTGCTTTCAAAATTCGCAGCTGTGTGTATTATTCTTATTCGTTACTTGTTAATTTGTGTGTCCTCCTGTATTGTAGGTGAAACTTGTTGATGGAATAACTATATTGTATAATTGTGTCCTTTACATTAATTATTTTTATGTTTTAACTCGTTCACATCATAATTCATATCTTTTTGAAGTGTTTTCATATTCATATTTACTCGGTATAATTGATTAACTTTGTCAGTATAGCACACTTTGGTGGGCCGCATATAAATACCTAATCACGTAGATATAGATAATAATTTTACATTACGTGAGCTTAATTTTGGAACAGGCAAACGTTACATTTCAATACTCATCGATTTGGTCAATAATATCACTCATTACAAACTTTACCAGATTCACTCAAACAAGCATAATGTTTTTTTTCAAGTTACTTGAAATTTTCTTTCGCAATTTCATTTTTCATCGGAAAATCCTCTCAAAAATTTTTTTTTGCTTTTGTGTATTGATTACGTTGTGTTACTCAAACAACCACATGTTTTAAAGTGTATCAAATCAAAATCACAGCGCTGATGTTTCATTTACTTTTAAAAATGATTGAAAATTCACTCTTGTTTCAATATCAATTTGCTGCTTTAAAAAATAATTCACTTTTAAAAATCACGTCAACGTTGTAATTATGCGCTGTGATTGATTTGACTATGGCACTTGCATTGGGATCGGTCGAGCAAGCGTCAAGTACCCTAAGAAAGATCTTAAAACAAATAAATGATATTCCAGGTGATAGCAACGCTCGTCGTCATCAGTTACAGCACGCCGATTTTCATAGCTGTTATATTACCTATAGGACTTATTTATTACTTCATACAACGCTTCTATGTGGCAACGTCGCGTCAATTAAAGCGTTTAGAATCAGTCTCTAGATCGCCGATTTACTCGCATTTCGGCGAGTCGGTAACTGGCGCCCAAACGATCAGAGCTTACGGAGTGCAGGACAGATTTATCAAGGAATCCGAGAGCCGAGTTGACTTCAATCAAGTCTGTTATTATCCTAGCATAATCGCCAATAGGTATGAATTCTTGTTTGTACTTTTGTGTTTGTTTTTTCTTCAGTGTTTTAATTTCATGCAAATTGTCTCTTAAGGTGGTTGGCTATACGATTAGAGATGGTGGGCAATTTCATCATCTTCTTTGCTGCACTATTTGCTGTACTGGACAAGCAAGAGATGAGTAGTGGTCTAGTTGGTTTGTCGATCAGCTACGCTTTACAGGTACATTATACTACAATAGTGTAGGCTTTTGTTAGTCAAAGCTGCATAGTATAAAATGAAATGATAAATATAAATATATTTAATATTAGATAACTCAAACACTGAACTGGCTCGTACGCATGACATCGGACGTCGAAACCAATATTGTCGCCGTCGAGCGTATCAAAGAATACGGCGAAACGCCACAAGAGGCAGCTTGGAATAAACCAGAGAATGATCCAGACAAAGATTGGCCTGTGCAAGGCAGTGTGGAATTCCACGATTTTAAAGTGCGTTACCGAGAGGGTCTAGATCTTGTCTTGTCTGGATTGAGCTTCAAGGTCAACGGGGGGGAAAAGATCGGCATCGTTGGACGCACCGGCGCGGGAAAATCTTCGCTTACCTTGGCTCTGTTTCGTATTATTGAGGCAGCCGATGGAAAAATCCTGATTGACAATGTTGACATTTCAAATTTGGGTCTTCATACGCTGCGATCGAGACTTACTATCATACCGCAGGATCCAGTCTTATTTTCCGGCAGTCTAAGGCTCAATCTTGATCCTTTCAATAAGTGCTCAGATACTGATTTGTGGAAGGCACTTGAACACGCTCATCTCAAAGACTTCGTGAAAAGTAGGCTACAGACTTCTTTTTAAAACTTATTGAAAGTGAACTGTATAAATTCATAAAGTAAATGATTAATTATGTTTTCAGGTCTGCCCAACGGCTTAAACCACGAAGTAACGGAAGGAGGTGATAATTTAAGCGTTGGTCAAAGACAATTGATATGTTTGGCTCGAGCTTTGCTGAGAAAAACTAAAGTTTTGGTTTTGGATGAAGCAACGGCGGCTGTTGATCTTGAAACCGACGATCTTATTCAAACGACAATACGACAAGAATTCAAAGAATGTACCGTTTTAACCATTGCGCACAGACTCAATACTATCCTTGACTCCGATAGGTAAGCTTTTCATAACAATCTTGATCCTTTTATTCAACAATATTCAATTTGCAAGTTTGGATTAAAAACATCGAAATATTTTTCAGGGTCATCGTTTTAGACAAAGGGTCTATTGTTGAGTATGATTCACCTAATACTCTACTGCAGAAGCCGGATAGTTCCTTTTATAGTATGGCCAAAGATGCAGGCTTAGTTGTATCGTAAAATTAAAATCGTTGCCTGGCGAACCTCGAATACCGAATTATTAATATTGCCTGTGAGCTTATCTAGCACTTAATTTTCGAACCGAATTAATAATGTGTACTTGAGTCACTAAAGGAGCAAAATCCAATTTGAAAATACAATTATAATGTCATTCTTTGTTTTGACGATCATATTCGGATACTTTTTTGAACGCGTTCCCACTATGGTAAAAAAAAATTTTCAAGGACACTTGTGAACATACAGGTATTTTAACTACTGCCAATTTCGAACAAGTAATAAAATTGTTTTTAATAAACAAAACAAAGTACTTGAGCATTAAGACTATTCGAAAAAGCCTTGTTAAAGAGAAACTATATGTGTTGTTTTTATGTGTTTAGAACATCTAATGATCTTTCAAGGTTTATTTTATTTTTCAATTGTTTTATTCACGCGAGGATTTTTTATCATTATGTGTAAATAGCATTTTTCATCATACTTAAAAGATGAATTCTTAAAAGTAATTTTAAGACCGTACGAGTTGCAGTTTGAACTAAATAAATATATTATATATATAGTATTATATTTTTCCACATTCTCTTGTTCTTACAATAATACTTAAACAAACATGATCTTAAAATAATTCATTAACAAATCGCAATCAACTTGTTCATTTTCATAATTTATTCTTAACACAGCTAAAGGCAAAAAGGTTATAAAATAATTCTCGTACCTAAAATGTTGGGCCTAAACTTACAAGTTACTTACATTGTTACACTTGATTTTGTATTAAGTTAGAGAAAGTGTAATAAATATATTAATATTTCATGTTTTTAAAAATATTAAGTCAATAAACTAGTAGAATTTACTGATACTTATTTATATTCTGCGATAAACAATTGCCAATATTCTTTTACAAGCAATGGTACAACATGATAAATTTTATTAAAATTTAAAATATATTCTTCGACTGCTCTATTGTAGTAGTGTAAATATAAACTAATATTTCCAAAATTCTTTTTGCAGTTACATACATTTTTCATTCAAAAAGTGTTCTTAGCTTGCTTTGCAAAGTGAAAACGAGTAGTAATCAAATTTGAACAGTTTATCAATATAAATGGAAAAGTATTTTAACATAGACAATATAGTAAATATCTGACAATTTATCAGGATTTTATTGATAGTTAAAGTAAATTTTTGAAACTATTCAATTAAATATTACTTCAATTATTGTACTTTACATTTAGACAGTTCAAATCATATGTATAATGCATAGTACTATCAGTGAAATCCTGGATTGTACATATCTTTGTTATATTTTTAAAATTAAATTACCAGTTCTTTCTATTGGTAACAGCGAAAATATTTTAGTTTTTTGATTCATTTTTTAATATATTATCATCAATTTTATTTGAACAGTTTAATTTAAACGTATTTCAATATCTAAATACAATAGTTAATGAAGTTCAAAAATGAAAAAATTTTAATAAGATTATGAATATATTTAATTTTCATAAGTAAAGTGTAGGAATATTGATTTAAACGCATTGTTAAATATAAATTAAGATTTATGCATGATATCATGATATGATACTTAAACAATCAAATGCATAAGTAATGATAATCTACACATATGCATAAAAAAGTGCCTTTTTGTAAAAAAAGTAATGCATGTATGCTCGATATTTGACGTATCTGTCTTGATACAGTGTAAATGTAAAGCCAATAAATAAAAGTTAAAGAGTTTGGATGACGATTCGAATGGCATTTTAGTTTATTTACCCTATATGTTATTAGTTTTTGAGTAGTTATAAATGGTGCTCTTTAACAATATGAAGAGCCTGTACATAATTCACGTGTATGTATTAAATTCAGAATACTTCTCCAAAATTGCGAATTTATTTCTAGAATAATTCAGTGATTAATTCAGTTAATATATTAAATTTGAGAATATCTATTTTATTTATTTGTCGGCCTCAGCGTACTCCAAGTGCAACTGTCGTGGACAGAAAATTCTGAATAGCGCACACAGCAAGAGCCAAGGTTTCTTCGCATTTCTTACGCTAAAATTTTTAGAAATAAAAATTAATGATTGACATATTAATTGTAATTATTCCAAAGCTTACAATAATAAACGAAGTTAAAAATTATACGAATAAACTAAATATTACACCTTAAATAAATTACTTACGTAGGTAATGAGTTTATTTATAATTACGTTTTTGTTTAACTTTAAACAGTAATGATGTAATAGTCTTCTCAAAAATGTCACATCATATTGAACTCATAAAATAATTGTACAGGCGAATCTTTTAACGTTTATTTAGGGAAAGAAGATTTCAATAAAAATTTTAAATTAGGCGCTTCAAAGTGGGGGCGTTTCTTATGAACTAGCAGAAAAATCATTCTGTTCAAGTCGCAACACATGTTTGATCAAAATAGCCTTAAAGCTAACGGTGTGTTCGAACGCGCGTGCACGTGCAACTTTTTATGTCAGTTTCAATCGATACCCTATGAATAACAATAAATAATAACAGTTTTTATTTCTCATCATGGCTCTTGTAAAAGTGAAATCGAACAAAAGAAAAAATGATAATGATAACGAAGTGTCTTTTACAAAGAAGAAAAAAATAGAAGAACTCAGTCAACTCAGAGAACAAATTTCTTTAGAAAATGTGTTTCATTCTAATTTAATTAGACTGCAAGTTGAAGAAACTCTCAAAAATGTGGAAATAAAACAAAAGTATAAAAAACTGTTCAAATTATGGCTTCAAAAATTTACTGAGCAAGTAAACGCTATAGACGATGATGTCGAGTATGAGGTAAATAATTTTACGCTATAATTATTATTATAATAATATCTAAATATTTAATTAAATTTACTTTATTTTTAGTTGAACGATAATACATTGTGTGATAATGTACAAGTGCCTATGGATGTGTTAAAAAATTATTGTCCAGGTGTCATGAAGTTCATAAAACCTACTAGAATAGTAGTTGGAGGTTCTTTTTCAACAGAAACTCTACTAAATGTAGAACCTTCGATTGACATATTTGTAGAAATGCCAGAAAGCCTTTTCGAAGGAGTTGATGGTAAAAATTACAGATATATGAGGAAAAAAGCTATATATCTAGCATGTATAGCAGCCAATTTAGATGAAGAAGTAGCAGAACGCAAATGTTTTGCTGGTGACAATTCAAATCAAACGTTAAAAATTGTTCCCAATGGAAAATTAGGCAAATTTATTATTTATGTGCATGCTGTTGTGCAAGAAACTGCATTTTTGATTAATAAATTTACACCTGATAAGAACAACGTCAAACCAGCTTGGTTTTTTAATGACGCTGCAAAAAAGAAAGGTAAAAAATATTTATTTACTATTTCTATCCAAAAATTAAAGAGATATGTATACAATATAATCATGCAATTAACTATTCTTATTTATAGATAAAAATCCACCTACGCCTCATTACAATAATATCATAATGAGAGATATTGTGTCGATAAAAAATAATGAGTACATTTTGGAATGTATTAATTCTAATCAACAGAATGTTAGAGATGCTATAAAACTAATAAAAATTTGGTTAAGGCAACGAAATCTTCACTTGGAAGGCATGGGTCATGTTATGACATTATTGACAGTACACCTGCTATCAACCAAAAAAATAAATGCTTATATGAGCAGTTATCAGATTCTGAGAAATATTTTTTTACATCTAAGTAAGTTACATTCAACATCAAATGCATTAACGAAAAGCTTTTCTAACAAAAATAAGTAATTTCAATTTAAATATTTCTAGTCAAACCCAATTGGGATGAATTTAGCATATGTTCAGATAATGAAGCAATGAATCGAATTTCTGATTATAAAAAGTACAGTGAATGTGTCATCCTTGATGTAACTGGATATCAAAATATTGCTGCTAATTTATCAAAAGCTACTATTGCTAGAATTTCAAAAGAAGCAGCTACGAGTATAGAAATATTAAATAAAAGCAGAGTGAACAGTTTTCAACTTCTGTTCATGTCAAAAATACCTTTCTTTTGGACTTTTGATATGATATTATGGTAAAATCTTATTCATTATTAAAATTATAGTTATGTAAAAAAATGAAACAAGAATTAAAATTGAGTATTTCATTTCAGCATAAATGATATAAAAGCCTTGGAAAACGCTGTTGACCGCTTTTGTAGTGAAGAAGATAAATTAAATTTTGGTAATAATCTCTACGTCCTGGCAAACAAACTTACCAAAAAATTGTTATGTGAAGGTTTGGGTAAAAGAATTTCATTTGTTATATCTATGCCACGAAAAATTAAAGAGTGGAATTTAAATGAAAAAATTCCTACTGATATGGAACCTATTCATTTGGGATTCAAATTTGACCCTGAATATTGCTTTGAAACTATTGATAAAGGCCCAGAGGTTGACAGTTTTGAGGTAAAAAATTTATTACTAATGGTTTTTATAAATTTTTATATTCAATTTTATAATTATTTTATACATTCTCTATAGGCCATAGCTTTCCGAAATTTTTGGGGTGCTAAAACTGAATGCCACAGGCTGGACGGAAAAATACATGAAGCAATTATTTGGGCTAAAAGAAGTGCCACCCCAGCACAAAAGCGTTCAGTGTGCAAAAAAATAGCGCATCACTTGCTGCAAAAAAAACTGCAACTTCTTGATAGGGTTCATTACAAGTTCTACTTTAATCAATTGGAAACTTATTTGAAACCAAGAATGGTACGTTGCTTTTATGATTTTTTATAAAAATATAGATACTGTCTCAAAAACAAAGTATAATTTATTTTCATATTGTAGGTTCAAGTAAAAGAATATTTATATAGTCAGGAAGGAGCTTGTTTTCGAGCAATAAATGTTTTTTCAAATATTGAAACCAAGCTCAGAAGTTTAAAAGAAACTGATTTACCTTTGACAATAAGTGGAGTTCAAGGTTGCAGTGCTGTATTCCGCTTCACTGAAGCATTCCCGCCGGTTTCAAGTTATTCCAAGGCAGATGGCAAAAATGTTTTAGATGGAAAAACACATCAAGAGTTGAGTAAAGGTCTTGAAGTAGTTCCTCATTATAAATCAATTTTAGAAGCAACAGTAAAACTATCAATAAGCGGTAAATGGCCTGAAGATCTTAAAGCTTTTCGAATGACGAAAGCAGCTTTTAATTTGCAAATAGCTGAATGTTTGAGAGAGCAGCACCAACTGAAAGCTTTTGGAAATTTTGAATATTTCGATGTGATGCAGGTAAGAATCATAATTGCCTTTGAATTATCTTGAAAAATAATAAAATTAATGATGAAAGTGAAATTGATGAATCATTTTTTCCGATGTAGGATGGTTTTATTTTCCGATTTAGGATTTCTAACGACAAAGAAATAGGTCTAGTTAAAGAAATTGACGAAAATGGTGTCAAAACTTACGTTGAAAATGAAGAGTCCAGAGAACTAGAGAGAAATCTGGTTCACTTACCGAGTTTAACTGGTGCTCTCTTTGGGTAAGTTATCGCAAAAAATGCATATTCAACGAAAATGTAGTTAACAACTGATTAATAATATTTTTTTCAATAGTTTGCATAGTCGGTACCCATCGTTTGGACCTGCTTGTTGTTTAGCCAAACGCTGGCTTTCAGCTCATATGATCGATTCATTCCTATTTCCACACATCGCAATTGAGCTACTTATGGCTTCCTTTTACATCGCTCCAGAGCCATATGAACGCGCTCAAACTCCGCAAGTTGGTTTTCTACGATTGCTCGAGTACTTTTCACGAGAAAACTGGACAACGGACCCAGTTTTGGTGAATTTTAACGATAAACTGACACGTAAGTAACTCACTTTCCGCATACTATTATGGCTATTGCCGTGTGATTTTACAAATAATTCTTGCTATTTACAGACGACGAGATTCTTGAAATGGAAAACGATTTTGGAACATCGCGTGAAAACTTACCGGCGCTGTTCATCGCCACTCCCTATGATTTCAAAAAAAGCATGTGGACAAGCGAGGCTCCTCAACCGATGATATTACATCGTGTCAGTGCTTTAGCACGAAACTTTTTACAATCGGTTGAAGCCCAGATGGTCGCAGGTCAAGATTTAGAACGAGACGAACTATTCAGTCCATCCCTTTCTGATTATGATCTTGTGATCGAGCTTAAGCAAACGGTGATAGCCAGACGGTTGCAGGCAGTTCAAAACCAGGAAGAAGTTACTATCGAACCATATCAAGAGGACGAACTTAACAAAGTACCCATAGTAGATTTTGATCCAGTAGCGCAGTACCTTGCAGATTTAAGAGTGAGCAATATTTTTTTATTTTTATAATCATTCTTTAATGGCATAAATTAACGATCATTTATTTTTTAGTTCGAATATGATGAATACGCTCTATTCTTCCACGATACCTTTGGTGGAAAATTCATCGGAGTACTCATGAAACCACAAAAAACAAAAATTCAAAAACTCACATTAGACAATGCAGCGAGCCATTTTTATACTATTGGAAAAGGACTAGTAGAAACTATAAATGTAAATCAAAATGTTTAGAATTATTAAATGTTTATAATTATTATTAAGTTGAATTCAATAAATAATTTTATATTTAAAATATAAAACAATACTTTTACACTGCAATCATAAATTCTCGATCCTAACAGCCTTTTTAGAATACATCCATAAAAATTATATAAATTATAAATAATAACAATTTAAATGGCAATTTTCAATACTTCATTGTTTATAGTATTCCATACATAACATTACCGGTAGTGTTACCAAAATCATACCGATGTGGTTTAACAGTCGGAGCGGTTATTGTAATTCTGGTAAACGGCGTACTGCGCCCGACGGCGCTGTATACGTTACATTTAACCTACGGAGTACTTATGTTTCAAATCATAACATATAGTATTGTGTATACCCATACAGAAGTTGTTTGATTTCTGTTGTCCGTTGGTTACATTAGAATAGAATGTCGTTATTGCAGTCAAAATATTCAACTCCGTGCAAGTGATTCTGTTGCATCTTGAGTGACGCTTAGCATCGAACAATTGTTATTAATGTTAATGCGTTATGTTACTAAGGATTAAAAAATATTATTTTTCTACTGGTTAATAATTACAATACGGAGTTTGGAGTCCTTATTTTCGTAACATACTGATCATTTGATCGAATCTTTGCTTTGTTGAGAGTAACTAACAATCTTGGAAAAATGTCTGGAATTTTTGGTATTTTTAACGACTCCCGGAGTAATAATTCAATATCTCTCAACAAAGGTAAGTAATATTTTAATTTTCTTTACCAAGCATATAATAACGTGAAAATTCGTTGTTTCAGAAAAAGAAAACTCTCAAATACACTTACTTTCAAAAGTCAAATCTGTTAATAATGACAGTCATGTACCCTTCAAAATTTTCTCTTCATCTAAAAACAAATCAAAAGGACTATCAATACGTTCTAAGTCCGATCTTAATATTTCTACATCTTCCTCAGGGAGTCTTGAAAAAAATAACTTGGTAAATTGTCTGAAAGTACAAGATAAATCATGTTTTGCTAAAAAGCAGAGCTCGCCATTGAAGATTTTAATGAAATCACCTAAGGTATTACTTAATGTCTGCAGCTTTTGATCAATTAAATAATAATTTATTATTAATATTGCTCTATTATTAAATAGAAGAAAGTTCAGCAAAGCTTGAATATAAAAAAGCTTTCTCCAAAAATATCAGCACCTATCATGCAAAATATGATCGATGATTTTAAATTTTCTAAACCTTATACTCCTAAGATGACTAAAAAGTCAACAAATATAAAACATCCTGAACCAGAATGTTTAGCTGGTGATTTTGATCCTAGAAAGTTCATAGGTAATTGAATTAAAATTAATATATCTATTTATAATTGGCTATTTTTAATTATGTAAAACTTGTAGATATGACAATGGAAAACAGCTTAGAAGATGATTTAAATTGGATGAGATCAACAAGAAAAAGTAATCAATCTATTGGATCTATTGATGATGAAGGATTTATTTCAGGTAAAATAAAAAATATTTAATATTGTAAAACTGAACAAATTTTTATGAATAATATTTTCATCTAGATTTGGACAATAATTCTTTTGAAGTAATGATGGATCAATCCTCATCAATGATGGTAATAGATGACATCGAACTACCTGATATTTCTGATATTGAAGATTAAGGTAATTTAAGAAAAGTTATAAGTGAAAATGATAAAGAAAAATTGTAAAAAAACCCAGAAAACCAGCTAATTTTTGTGATCAGGACTGATTTGTATTAAAAAAAAAAGATTATAATATTATCTTACAAGTACCTCTTTTACTAAAATAGTAAAAGGTTGTCATTCCGAAACATAAGCATTTTATGTATTAATCGTCATATGATAAATATTTAAGACTAAAGTACAAATAATTTTATTAATGCCGACACATTGAAAACTGTCAACATTATTATGATGCATGTACAATTGTTATTTATGCATCAATTGAATTTTGTTATTCTATAATATGTTAAACCCAATAAATTATGTGTACTTTTTTCTTAAATATTCAGCACATGTATAAAATAGATTAACAATGTAAATTTGTATTCAAATTATATAGTGATATTAGACTAATGTTTTACTATAAGACTGAATGAATAAATTTCTTTTTTAAAAGTAAAAAAAACTAAAGGATTTACATAATTTTGAAGAAATAGTATTTAAACAATGGTTATAATATCATTTGTTAAATGTATTATCGTAATTAACCTTTATTATAACAGCTTTTTATTAACCTTATGCAAACAATTGAGTTGAAACTTTCATAAAAATTTCAATAACTTAAAACGAAATAATGTAAATCGACTTCAAGCTCAATTCATTATTCTTAGTGAATCTTATATAAAAATGAGCGACGTAAAAATCACAACAACCATTGCCGGCTGTTCTAACTGTAGTAATTTTGATTATGCATGTTTCATTGCTGAAAATGTGAGTAAATTATTACCAAATTTTACAATCAAAATCGTATCAAAATCAGCATCTGAGTGGGAGGTAAGACTATAATCAAATAATATTATAAGCAGTTTTCAATATTGAAAACGTATTAAAAAATATTATAATGTCAGGAGTGGTTAACAAATCAATGTAAAACTTATGAATGGTCTCATGATGAATCGCCATTGATTTGGAGAGAAATAGGAATCAGAGATGAAAAACGCACATATATTGGTGGTATAATGGAATTCAGAATATTTATTAATAAATATTATGGGATAGATACTAACATTTCTAAAGAAGATAAAAGTGGATTGAACTGTGATTATGAATCAGTAAGAATATTATTATTTATCAATTTATGAATTCTTATCCTTCAATGATTATTTATATGAAAGGCAAAAAATTATGCTAAAGAAAGACAGAAAAATGCAAGAAGAAATATTCTGCACATTACTATTTCTGGTGCTGGGCGGTCAGTATGCCCTGATCTTGTGGCACAACTAGCAACAGAAAAAAACATAAGTCGAAATGGTATCACTATTCACCTCTATGATCCATCTGGACATTCTTTCAAACTTAATGATATTCTCAAAGATGCAAGAGCTCTCAGTGGAGTACTATGGGATATTTATGTTGCAGAAAGCTTATCAGATTGTCTAATGAATTGTGATATTTTGATAATTTTAGAACACATTATTAGGTGTTGCATAAATAATATTAATAGATAGAAATTATTATAACAGAATATTTAACATTTTTTAAAAATAATTTATAGAGAAGATACAGAAACTACTCAAAATTGGTTACAAAGAAATTACGATACTTTTAATGATGTAGCTAAAAATATAAATATTTATGCACCATCATATATGAAAGTGATATTTTGTTCTACGGGGCCAGCTTGTTTTGCTGCAAATTTATTGGCTAAAAAAGCAACAAAACTGAGTAAAAATAACATTGTAGCGATAGCTGCTCATTATGGTTTAGAAATGATGTACCAATTCATGAAATCAGTGGATATGAATATTGAAGGAATAAGTTCTCCGCCAGTCTGGGGATTTTTAGGTATTTAGTCTTCTCCATTGATTTTTATATTTTTCCGTTTAAAGAATGTCTCAAAATTGAAATACTGTTCTTTTTTCAGGAATAAATCATTTCATTGATATTGATCAAGTAATAAAAAATTGCACTGTCAATTTACCAAACAAAAGAGCTTTCAAAAATTCAAATTTCTTGTTACCATCAAAATTTAAATATCAAGAATTTAGACGACTATTTTATCTAAGTCACGATAAAGATCCACATAAACTTCTTGCTAAACGAAAGGTTTTATTTATATTTTTTAATTTTTGATTATAATTTACCTTCCCTATTTTATTGCATTTTTTACTGAGACACAGCAATTTCGGTTCATAGAAGTACAGCAAATGAGCTTTATTTCGGACGAGGATCGAAACTCATAAGTCCCCCTTATTAAGGCTTACGTTTATGATGGAGATAAAAACCACGAAAAAACATCCACGGAAACGATTGTGAATTATCTCAGTGAAAAATCAAAATTTTGGGAATTTTAAAAAATGCAATGAAAAGGGAAAGAAAAATCGCATGAAAATATGAAACAAATCAAAATACCGATTTTAAGCTTTAGATAAACTTTTCAAAATAATAATTATTGTCAAAGCACACTTATTATGACTCGACAAAATATATCGAACAGTAATAATAATTGTATAGTATAGAGATCATATCATCTTGAAAAATATATTTCTCGTTGTGTTTTTGCACATACTCTCGTGCATTATTTGTTCGACTAGTAATATTTATACATCGCAAAAAAAAACTTTCGCGTGAAACAAAGTATGAAAAGTTGTTTAATTTTTTTTGACAGGCAACCTGTTGGTACCAAGTCGGAAGAACCGAAGATTATCAAAAATGTAAAGCCATTTGTAATCTTTTGAAAATGTGGTATTCAGAAGATTACTCAAAAATCGGCGATGAAATTATATTTTTAGGCGTACCTTCGAATGGTAGTTAAATAAGAATTATTTTATTTTATTATATTTTATTTTATCTTGATTAAATAAAATTCATGTGGAATTTGATTTTAGGCAATTTTAATTTACCGACAAATATTTACTTTTCGCAACCTGTTCGTCTAAAAGTTTTGAAAGATCATTCAAGAATATGGACAAGTTGTTCTGATTACCCAGCACCAAGTGACCCTGTGATTATTCAAAATTTTGTGGAAACAGCAAAAATTATTTTAAAAAACATGAAACTCATCGATGACGAAGATATGTAAAGATATACTTTTTATGGAAATATTAATCGGAAAACCAAAAGTTAGAGAAATAGAATATGTTACGGGATCGGTAAAAAATATTAATAATTTTAATTTTGTAAATGATATTGTATTTTAAATTGTGGATAAAAAAATAAATAAAAAGCACATTTAAAGATCCAAATTGTCATAAAAGTCATTAATAATTAGAAAAAACTTCGAAAGATTGATGAAGAGATATTTTTTCAATACGACGAAATTAGTCTGCAAAAAAACTAAAACCATATAGGTTTATATAAAGTGTTTTGGTTCCCACTCCCCGGGCACTTGCCATGTGCGCGAGTCTAATTCCCACTAGCCGAGTGTTGTCGGCTTTTGGCTGTCAAAAACTTTTCACGCAATAATACATCAGTTACATTTTATAAAGACTTTAAGACTTATTTGAAGTATTGATACTGCACGTATCGGGCATTAAAAGTCCATACACGAACTAATTTTGTCTTAAATATCTGAGGAAGATTGAATTACATATAAGTTATTGTTGACAATTAAAATGGCAGAAAAAATGTCAAGTGAGAGTTTAGAAATGGACCCTGAACTTGCTAAACGTTTGTTAATTGAGGGAGGTACATTTGTTATCTTTAACGTACCAGATGAAACTGATTTTGGAATAGATTTGAAGTCTTGGAGCACTGGAGTTAATTTTAAAGGGATTAAAATGATTCCTAAAGGATTGCATTTTATTCATTACAGGTTAGTTTTATTTACTTATTTTTTTTAAACAAGTAATTTTTGTTTTATTCTATCGTAAAAAATTTATTAGTGCAACTGATAAATATGGAGGAACTGCACCAAAAGTCGGCTTTTTTTACATTTTTAAGCAATCAGAATTTTTGGTAAAGCGATGGGATAAAAAAGAAGAACGTGTTGATTCTGATGGTAAGTTGTCATGCATATCTGATAAAATGCACTAAACAACTCTAAAAATAAATATGTAAATAAATATTAATTTTATTTTAGTTGCTTCAGCAGAATCAATTAATAGACTTAAAGAAAATATTAAGGAATTAGACAGGTACTTGGGAGTTTATCCATATGATCTATGGAAGCCATGGTGCGATCTGACAGATAAAATAAATGAAAGGATCATTGAACGATGTCAACCTGCATGTGGGTAAGTTATTTTTCAAGAAAGGTCTTTTTTATCTCTCTTAATCGAATTGAATAATAATTATAAGAAATAGATTTGTATGTTCAGCTTTGGAATTAGTTAATACTAGTGATGCATGTAGACCTAAAGGAACAGATCCAAGTGATAAAACCCGAAAAAGTATAGGTGCCACTTTAGAAGATAAAGAAAAAAATTTACTTCCTGATCTCAAGCCTAAACCAGGTACTGAACTAAGGTTAACAGAGATACCAGAAAAGTTATACCCTGCTGATGCTACTCCATCAGAAATAACAAAGCATTCTTTGGATACCAGTTATGCTTTTAATACAATTTTAAATAAACTTGAAGAGTAATAATGTTTTCATAAATAACAATTAACTAAATAAGGTTATTCAATACTAATTTTATCCTACTTTTATACTCAATTTCAGCCCTATGGATATTATTGGAGAACTACAACTTGCATTTGTATCTTTCCTCGTTGGGCAAAGTTTAGAAGCATTTGAGCATTGGAAGAAATTAGTTTCTATTATTTGTGCAGTTGATACATTGATTCCTAACAAAAGAGCTATATATGTTGAATTTTTAAAAAATATTGAAAATCAATTAAACTATGTCCCTGAAGAAGTATTATGTGATATTGTTGCAAACAATAATTTTATTTACCATAATTTGCGAAAACTGTTTACTTCAATTGAATCCAACGAAGAGATTGATGATCGCTTGAAGTCCATGGCAGAAAGAATGAAAGAAAGGTTGACTGAAAAATTTTTATGGGACTTTGAAAACTTATGTGAAGATGAAGATGCACCGGTTGTTGTCGATTTGAATTAAGCTTGTATATACTAATTAAATTTTGTAAATAAAATGAAATTTTAGTTTTTGTCTCTCAATCTTCCTAAATTTTTTTCATGACTTACCTCAGAAATACTTGACAAGCTGAAATTATATTTCATTATCTTAATAACTAGATAGGCACAAGGACAAATAATAAATTGTCTTGCAGATGTACAGATTTTATTTTTTGTGGTTTAATCGGTACAAAAAGTGTTAACTACATTATCCTGGCAATAATACCTATAGCGGTAAAATTTAATTTTTAAATTAAATTAGTTTTTTCTAAACAATTATAAGCAATGGTTTTAACCCATTAAAGTGGCTAATTGGGTTGACTCAAAATTATTTGTGTACATCTGAAAAGGAAAATACATGCTTACTTTCAAATCAAATAATATAATGAATAAATATTTATATCTTATCATAGTTTCAGTAGACGAAAAACTTCTTCAGATTGTAATAAGAAGACCATCGTCAGATTCATCATAAAAATAAAAATTTAGTCATGTTAAAAGTGTTGAATAATTACCTAAAACTTTTTAAAGCTTTTCTTAGCGCTTGTTCCTTTGGTTACTTTTAATACATTAAACCTTACAGTTTTACTCAAAGGTCTGCATTCACCAATAGTAACAACATCTCCAATCTCAACATCTCTGAAAAAAATTTTTTCTCATCAATTTTCCAAACTAATATGTGATCAAATGTTATGTGTCACAGATGATCACAGATGATGATTATTAAATTTAAAAAAGATACTTGCCTAAAGCAGGGTGATAAATGTACACTCATATTACGATGTCTCTTTTCAAATCTATTATATTTGCGAATGTAATGCAAATAATCTCTTCGGACAACAATTGTGCGCTGCATTTTTTGCTTAATAACTACCCCAGTGAGGATACGTCCACGAATGGACACATCTCCAGTGAAGGGACATTTTTTGTCAATATATGTTCCTTCCAAAGCCTGAAACAGTGCATTATGTTCATTTTATTAGAATTTCAAACTACTTTCAATTATAAGCTCAGGTAAAGATTTTTTACCTCACGAGGAGTTTTGAATCCAAGTCCAACTTCACGAGTGTACCTCAATGATTTGCGGCCCTTAGAAGCTGATTTTTTCCTATTTAGGAAAATAGTGGGTTGTTTCAAGAAACTCTTAACGTTGGCCTAAATAAAAAATAATACATATTAGCAAATTTATCGTAACATTGTTACTGAACTTCACTTTCACTATTCTAAAGAACAACAAGTTTCATTGAATCAATGTAGCACTTTTGTTGAAGTAATTTAGAGAAAATGTTCAATATAAGGTACTTTTTATTAACAATAACAAATGAATGGCGACAACAAAGTCACATGTTTTATTCACGCCGGTCAAATAAAATGTTATAACAGTTAGTTAAATTTGTGTATTAATCCTTATGCAAAAAATGTAAACTTGAAGCCTTCTATTGTTTGCGCATTAATTATTGCAAATTTTTTATTAAAAAATTTATTATAAAATTTTTTATTAAAACAATTTGTATTAACCCGTACTTACTTGGTCGGCCATTTTCGCTGAATCTAATCACGATATTGCAAATTCGCAATCGCCACTACTGGTGGCGTCTGCTGGAAACAAAAGCACGTAGAACTGCAGACTGGCAGTCCAACTTTGCGTCGCGCTAAACTGGCAGAACGAGTTAAAATTTTGTCATCGAAAATTATAATTTTTTATCAACAATTTTTGAACGAGTTTTCGTAAAACATTCAATGTTTGTCATTTTCTTAAGGTTTCTCAACGTGGAAAAATGAACAAGGTTAAATCTACTGCAGTTTCTGATGATTGAAAACAACATGATCAACAAATGCATTAGGTAAAGTGTATTTTTATGTTTTTTCTTTTCTTTCAAGGTAAAAAAATGAATTTGCAGAAATGCTTTTGTCATAACTTCTTATTGGAATAAAAAAAATTTTCAGATAACATTCGTTAAAATATATATAAAAAATATTCAATATGAAAATTTAAGCAATATTCATGTACAAACTTCACCATATATTTTAAAAACAAGAACTCAATCAATTTTTGTGCTGTTCATAAAACTTTATCATGTAATTGGACAATTGTTTCACTTGGTCCAACGTCACTGCATTGTATAACGATACTCTGATGCCGCCAACCGAGCGATGTCCCTTGAGCTGCAGCATATTCAAAGCCGCTGCGCCGCTCACAAAGTCATTTTCTAATTTTTCATCGTTCTTTATTCTAAAGGGAATGTTCATGCGACTGCGGCAATTCTCCTTGATGGGACAACTGTAAAAGCCGTTCGATTTCTCAATAATGTCGTAAATCATTTGACTCTTTTGTCTCGCCAATTCTTCCATGCCCTCGACGCCGCCGTTCTTTAAGATCCACTCGAACACGAGGCCCACGAAATAAATCCTGCACAGATATAAATACGAACGATGAAATTTAAAAATATTCGTTGCTTGAAATTCAGTCGACGTGAAAACTCACTGGAAAACTGGGGGCGTGTTGTGAATGGAATTTCCCTCTGCTACAACGGCAAAATCGAGAATAGAGGGGCAAATCTTCATGGCAGTACCGATGAAATCTTTTCGTACGATGACGATCGTCACGCCCGATGGGCCGACATTTTTTTGTGCCCCAGCGAATATCAACCCAAACTATAAAGGTCGTAATTTTGATGAGTCGAGTTAATTTCAAATAATTTAATTGCATAATTGAAATTACCTTTGAAACGTCGATTGGCTTCGATACGAAATTCGATGACATATCCGCGACCAGAGGCACTCCATTTGTCTCAGGAATGTCATGAAACTCGATTCCTGAAAAATCGTCAACAATATTTAAATAAATAATACGAAAACTTTTAGCGAGTCGAGAAAGAAACGGAGTTTTTTCTTACCATGAATAGTTTCGTTATCGCAATAATATACATACGACGCATTTGGATCGAGATTCCAGTTTGATCTGTCAGGAATCTCTGTGTATTGGCTAGTTTTTGGTACGACGAGATTGACTTTACCGTATTTTGCTGCTTCTTTTGCCGCTTTCGATGACCAAGAACCTGGAAATAAGTTCCGTCAAAATTACCGCAAAACTCTGATAGTGGATCGATTAAAAATTCACACGAACCTGTGACTATGTAATCAGCAGTGCCAGTTGTCATCATATTGAGGGGCACGGCCGAGAAAAGGCCAGTGCCACCTCCTTGCATGAACAAGACTTTGTAATTATCGGGTATGTTTCTGACGAAAAAATAAATTTATCGTAAGATTTTTTTCAAGTATATCTCGCTTCGCGTGGATAAAGTGTATTATAATGTATAAACTTACAGTATTTGTGTGAGTCGTGCTTGTGCACTTTCGATGACTTTTTTGAAATCGCCCGACCGATGACTAATTTCCAGAATACTGACTTTAGCATTTTTGTAAGCCAATAGTTCTGCTTGAACCTCTTCCAAAACCTTCAAAAGATAATGTAAGCATGTAAAAAAGAAAGCTAAGATCAAAGTTTATTGAGACTTTGATAAACAGACGTTTGCATAGAAGTATGAAAAAAAAAATAATTTAGTCGCAAAGTATTAATAAAAATTATGGGTTTGAAAAAATAACACAAAAATCTAAATTAACGCGCGATACTGTATGTGCTAGAAAAACAAATACAAGGCTATATTTTAATTGTACATACAATAATTGCTGTATACAAACGGAGCAATTTTAATTTTATTCATCGAATTTATTTTAGTGCATGAAATAAGTGAATATTGAACAGTCTAAAAATTATGATTTAACTGCATATTGATGGGCGTCAGTGAATAACCGATGGTATTAATACATGAACAATATTTTGCAGGCTAATTATTCTCAAGATCAAACTCGCACTCGTTATTCACGTATGCAATAATTGTATTGCGTATGCACACATGTATTGCACAACTATTTAGACTGAAACACGCAAGGATAAGCGAGTGCGATTCCGACATTCGAGCCGATGTATCTAAATTCGACTCGATTAGAATTAGAGTCGACGACGCGATAAGATGTAGAAAATTTCGAACACAATAACATTACCTCCAGAGGCAGTTGTCCAGGTCCAGCGCCGAAATTGATGGCTCTCTCGTTCTTCTTGCCGTTCATGGTTTCGAGGTATACTTTACCGATCTTCTCGGGTTTCAAAAAAAGGTGCAGAAGCTATCGCTCTCGTCTCGAGACGTTCGGCGTTTGCGAGCCCAAACTCAAGCGGGCTCTCAAGAGAGCTCTCGGCGGCGCGTTGAGCGACGGGACTCGAGTGCGAGTACGAATGGCTTATCAGCAGCGACCGGTTCTTGCCCCAACGATCTTTTATCTACAACACATTGACGTATGTGTTTACTAGCCCGCACACACTTGTGAGCTGCGACTGTCGACGCGCGCGCGAGGCACATCGATCGTCTATCTACGCGTATGGCAAATATACGTATATACGTACACATGAACCGCGAGCTTGAATTGCTCAATGTTGTTGTGTGTAGCGATGTGTGTTTGTATCGGCGCAGAAAAAGATTATAAAAATCGTCGAGCAAACCCGCGGGGGCTACACAATATCGTCGCACGTTTTACGGTGACGATTTTCAGTTACAATCGTACCGCGCGAGCGGGGAATGACACATCAAAAAAATATATAAGCAGTATAAGCTATTAACTCATTAAATAAATATTTATATGCGTGTTACGTTGCTGCCTGCTATTTCATGAAAAATCTATACGCAACGCCACCGTCGCCGTTTGATTGAAAATTACACTCGCAAATGCGATCCCGCACATATATACATATTTGTAATATACCACGTGGGACTCGCACAGCGATCTAACTTTCATTCGAGCCTATATTATAATGTAGATACGAGGTAAAAGAATTTCAATATCGATTCGATAATTTGTCGTAAAACTGATGTAATGAATTCAAGCAAATGAACAACGAAGACTTCGTAAAAAACGTGGCTCTCGTATAATAATATAATAATACGTTTTACGTCTGCATTACATACACTGTAATCGAAGGTGGGTTTATCTTTGATTGCATAATTTTCGATAAACAAATTAGTTATTTTCTAGCTCGTCGTTAAACAAGACGTGCCGATCTCGCGTTTATTTTTTGCAGCCTGTTATCGCACACCCCCCACTAAGTTTAATCTTTGGAGTACAAGTGTGTGTAGGGTTGTTCAATAGGTGTCACTCAAGCTAGAAAGAATTCATTAAAAGTTACTCTTGAATTGTCAAACAAATGTGCATTTTTATGAAACCAATATTCATTACAAGTAATTTTTTTATTCTTTTCGATAAATTATACTGAATATTCAAAGATTTAAATTATTGAACCAAGAGGCTATATATTTTTATAGCGATGACATTATGTTGTATCATCAGCAAATCTGTGCTTGACAAGCACGACAGCCTGCGCGACCGACACTTTCACGGATGCTTAGCGCTAGTCAATTACAAATTCTCACAGTGTTATGATTACAATTTAATTATGTCTTACATATTCATCTGGTGTATTTCTATCTACAAGTAATAAATAAATACGATCAAAAGAACAGGTAAAAAGTTTTTTCTATTACAAATTATTTATAAATTATTACGGCGTTGTGAACAAATTTATATTCAAGGTTTCAACTTTTTTATACATCAAAATGTCCAATTCAAAAGAACAGTTATCCATGATCTTAAATGACTTTGAAACGCTCACTCAAGCGTTGCTTTTGAGTTATTTTGCTCCCAAAAATCAAAGGATTAATGAAGATATTAAGCTTAGTTGTACTCAAATTATTGATTTGTTCATAATTAAACAAAAAGAATTACAAAGACTCTTGATTGAAATTAAAGAGAAGGTAATAATTCAAAAAGAGATAGAAACATTGAAGAAAGCAGTAAGCTCTAAAGACCAAGTAATAATAAGCCTGTGGTCAGAATTGAAAAAGGCCGAGGAAATTTTAAGAGAAACCATGCGTAAAGCTGCAGAAAAACTTCAAGCTATGAGGGAGGCCAAAACTAAACCCGTTGATTCAAACGATTTGATAAAATACGCTGCAAAACTAAGCACCTATGACAATGCTATAACATCACCTTTGGATTGGCAACCGAGTGATCCAAGACGTCCTTATCCAACAGAAACGGAGATGAAATCAAGCTTATTTTACGAAGATACTAACAAGTCTAATCCCAAGGACACTAAAAAGTTTACAGGGTACACAGTATTAACGCCAAGTAGTCGTATACCCAGTGGGTATTACCCATGTTATCATTTCAGACCACGTCATTCTGATTAATTTTTTAATGATGATGTATCCCCATAAATATCAAAGCATTACTAGATTGAAATTGCCTTCTCTCGACACGACTTCGAATTGGAGTTGAAATTTCCCGCTCTAGCAGGAGTCAAATGTATCTTATAACCTAAATAATCTTGAGATATGCCAAAGCAGCTGAGGCCTGAGCGCCGAGTAGTTGATTGTTTACTCACAAAAGTGAACTGAATTTCAAAGCAGTTTTGTATTTAGTTTATTTTCAAAAAATGGAAGAAGATTCAAGTAATTTGCCACACAAAAAAATTACATTGCTTTTCATGGACGAAGTCTACAAATTAGATAAAGAAAAATTAATGTCTGAGTGCGAATATTTCAGGACAATGTTTAATCAAGCGTTTAGTGATTCCAAAGACGATATTATCAAAATCAAATTTGCTTTTCGACCAGACTCTTTTAAGGTAATAAAATTTAATTCAATTCTCCTATCGAACTTTCATTTCAGTAGAGACCCGATTAGTTTGGTAATTGTACGTACATTAAAAATCCTGACAAAGTGATCGAAATTATAATGCTTTTCATAACATATTTGGTTAATTCTCATCAATATGTAAAAAAGTACTGCTCGTAGTCATATTATGAATTTTTTTCGTTTCAATAATTAATTATTTGTTAAATCTTTATTCCAAAATATTTGTTATCTTTGAAAGGTTAATTTTAAATATTTAAATTAACACAAGAATGATTTTAAATTCAAATCTTATTGTACGTTATACATTTAATTATGTACTTGTTCAACTAGAAGAAAATGAGTATTATATTATTTTTAACAAAAAATTAACAACTACTAATCAAAAAGAAGTTGATTAAATTAGTTTATAAAAAAATTACGAGATTTCATTTACTTCCACTTGTGTGGAGCATATTTTAATTATTGATTTTTTCCCTCAGGACTTTTGCACTTGGATGGAAAAAGATTCACCCCCGGCCGACCTCGAGATTCCACGAATACCCGGAAAAAGTTGCTTGGAGCATCTCGAGTACAGCGAGGACTACGATCACTTCGATCGACTTCGAAACCTTCTGGAAATCAGTCTCGTGTATCACGCCAATAATTTGATTCGCGATCTCACCTCCATCGTCGCTCAACACTGGCTCAACAGTTGCTCGAAGAATCAGCGCTATTTCTTTGACATTTGGATCTCGTCGTTGGAGCTGCGCTTTCCCGAATTAGCCGATCTTGCCAAATTTCTCTGTTGCCAGAATCTGCGATCGCTCGATCAAAGCCTGTTTTCGAGAAAAGAATTGACTCACGAACGTTTCGTATCCCTCATGGGTAGCGTTCACCATACAGCCTCGAAAGAATATCTTTCGAACGTAATCGATGCTCGATTGTCCGTGGAAGCCGACGATTTGAAGCGCAAAGATCTCAACGATTTATTAAATAGAATTAAACTTGCCAAACGTGAGTCATGGACGATGAATTGTTTTTTCGTTGACACGACTAAAAAAGAAGGATCTGATTTTGTTATCTCGCGCGATATTTTCAGTTTAAGGCCAAAGAAATGTGTTGTGAACCCGCACAACAAATTCGAAAGATTGATAAATGTTTGGAAAACGATGTGTGGAGATAACAAAGATCTTGTGGGCGCAGGAATTATAGGCAAAGGTGAGCATTACTATATAATCTACATTGAATTGAATTATATCGTAACACAAAAATTAACGTTACAGGTAGCAACATTTTCAGGGTCGGTGGCGAGATACGAATCGGCTCCAACAAGTTTCTATTGAACGTCGGCCGCTACTGCCTGATAACCAAGCGCTGGTACTACTTGACGAGGCTTCGAACTCCTCGCCGACACATGGGTCTCGCGATCAGCAACGATAAACTGATCGTCATTGGCGGCGTCGGACGTTACCGAATGAAGCAGTCCTCGATAGAGATGCTCGACATGACGGAGAACACGTGGACGCGCGGGCCCGAACTACCCGAAACCTTCACCGACATACCGGCCTGCTGCGTCGTTCGGGGCATGGTCGTCATTCACATTTCGCGACTCTACATTTTTAACCCTCTCAAAAACTCGTGGATCGGTATACAGAGCAATCTCCATCCTAATTTACTGCTTGGAGTTCGTACTTTTGGAGTTCACGGAGATACGGTTTACTTTGGTAAGAGATTTGTATCTTTACTTTATTGTCGAGATGTTTGCATAAAAATGGCAAATGACGGATGTTTTTTGTGCAGTTACCAGCGAATTCGAGCAAATTTTGGCTTTCAAAATTCAGTGGGTTCGAGACGCTTGCGAGCACGACGATGGAGACTGCGAATGCGACATCGTTGGCGCAATAATATCTCAAACGCAAGTAAGCCAAAACCAAGATCTTGGGATACTTCTGAACATGACCATCGCCAATGAAATTCAAAGTGTGGCCTTTTGCAACGAAGTCGATGATCTCTTTAATTTGGTGTCCACGACGGATAGTTTTCAAAAGACGAGTGTCGAGTACAGTCGAATCGACGAAAGTAAAAAATTGGTTGAAAAATTTGCACTCAAAGATTTTCCATCGTTTGTTTTTATTGGAAATGGTTTTCAAGTTATTGATCCAGATTATATTAATTTGAATCACATGGAAGTACCTTTGAATGATTAATATTGTTCACTCGTATTTCTAAGTATTAGTATCAAATGATGAAGTTATCATAACATTTGTGGTAAAATATTTGACCTAATACATGTTATTGCTGTTATTTTCATCGCAAAAACTCAAAGTACTGCGAGATGTTAGAAATAAATTAACATCGACTATTGAGCTGTATCAGCTCACGAAAAAATTATACATTATAAGGAATCATTAGCTAAATTGAACAAGTGTAAAAAATGTATTTTAAATAACTTTTTACGAATAAAATATGCATCGAACATATAAAATCTGTGAACCAAAATACCATTACTAGTGTAAACTACTTAAAAAAGTTTCGCGCTAAATAACATTGCTCAAACATATCCTCGACTATTCGTCCGATAATGGTACACAAGCATGTTTGAGTGACTCAGTCCGATGGTTCATGCCAGCGTTCAAGCACATGTCGGGGCACTCGTTGCCCTGGCAAGGATCAGCGATCGTCGTTTCGTTTATTCCTTCGATATGAACGTATCTCATCGCACTGACGATGATTCTGTCGTAGATGACGCGAAAACTGCTAGGATCGGCTTGGCCACTTCGCTCGTCGATCGTCAACGCGATAATACGGTGGAGCGTGTCGTCGTACACGAACATCTCCGATCCGTGCACGGCCAAACTGGCTGGACCGAGGAAGTAGGGCGAAGTCGAATGCTGCTTGGACACCACCACGTTGACGTCGCCGCCAGCGCGCTTATCCGTGTCCACGACGAAGGGCAGTCGGGCGTTCGGGCCGTTCGCCAGGACGACTATCATGTCGCTGCCGTCGTACCTGGAGCTCTTTATGCTGTGGTAATTTTTTTCCGACCAATACAAGCGCTTCGCAACTCGGTCGACGTTCACCGATTTGATGTTGTAACGCTTGTGCTCGACGATTGATTTTACCGATTTACCGTCCATGTTCATTCGAAGGATCTGCACAGACGAGATGTCGATGGAAAAAATACGCTATCTATTATTCGTGAATCGATCGTTGAAAGACGCGTACGTACCCTCGTACCATCGGCTATGAAAACTAATCCAGCAGTTGGATCGAGGGCGATGTCCATAGGCTTGTTCATTTTCCCCTCATAAATAGTCGCGTGTTTGGAGCTGTTTTTCAAATCGAACACGTGAACTTTGAAGGCTTTCGAGTCGAGCAAGTACAGATTATCGCCGACATAATCGACCGCCAAAGCTTGGCATCTCCAGGATCTTGGATCGAGCTCGATCAGCGTGTCGATCGTGAAACTCGTGGTCCACAGGGGACGCGACAAAATTCGCCCCGTGCCCAAATCCGTCCAGTAGATCGAGCCAAGTCGAAGGTGATAGTCCAAGCCGCCGATGCGGCTGAAGCGCTCGAGAACGCGACGATCGTACCGATCCTTGGTCCGAGTCAGGCGGCTGATGGCGTTCGGTTCGATTAGCAGCAAGTGTGGCTGAATCTTCAGTGAACCTGAAATTATTTTAATCATGAAAATTCAACCGTTACAAGAGGTAAGAATGCAATTTAGGTATAGTTTAACTCACGCCCGAAGGTGACAGATGACGACGCTATCAAAAAAATGACCTGTGATAGTATGGCAACGATTCTATGTAAATTTTTCATTGCTTTAGAACATATTTAAACACTCGTACATAAAAATTGGTGCAACTAAATTGAGCTTTGTAACAGAAAATGACGAAGTAATGTAGTTACATTCATTAAACGTTCATAAACATTAAAATTTTTTACTGCTCACACGATCGCATGCGGCACGTATTAAGATCGAGGAACAGCAACATTTTGTCCCATATAACATTTGTGGACGTGATTCATAACTCTTTTTTTCTTTTTTTTTTAATTTACAAAAAATACCACGTTGGTAATAGTTTTAAAATTTTTAGTTAAATGGTATAATGGTGGATTAAATGAAGTGCTGTTCATACGCAAATTTTCATGGGCCACTCACACAATTCGAAAATCATTAATGTAAGATTTTGGATTAATAAAAGTACGAGGAAGTGGATAAAAGAATTATGAGGGATTTTACTCATTTTGAAGAAATAACATTTTTTGGTTTTTTCTTCAAAATAGGTTTTATCAAAAATACAGTAGTAAACTATAAACGCTCGCCCCAAACAATCTCTGAACAAGCCGTAAAAAAACTCTGGGCTGATTTTTGCATAAAATGAACAGGAAGTAGTAATTATAGTATAATATACGAAATCTGATTCAAAAATAAAACACTACAATAACAATGAACAAAAGTGTAACGATAATTGATATCAGATGAGACTCGCTCATTTCGTCACAACTTTTATTGAAATTTTAGGAAAACATACATGTATCTGTACATAATTACAATTGTTAATAATAATTCCTTCCCACAATCATGGTTTGCGAAATCTTCGCAACCCTAGTGTATTTTCCTTTGGTGTCTGACCAATACCCCTTTTTGCCCAAATTTCTTCTTGCAATTGTAGCGTACATAATATTCGCGATCCTAGTGCATTTTCCTTTGGTGTCTAATCATTTCCATTTTTGATCCAAATTTTCGCTCGCACTTGTCGCATGCGTAATCTCTGCGACCTTCGTGTACTGTTTTTTGGCACCTGTCGCAAGCGTAATTTTTTTGTTTATTATGAACTGCGTCTCGATGTGTTATCATGCTTTATTCTAGCATAAATGACTCCTGACAAATATCAGAAATGTATTTTTTGTTATATTCACTCGAATTATCTATTGAGACAATTTCCTCGGATTTTTGATCCATTTTGGTGCCTTATTACGATGGGCCCTTACATTTAGTTTTACAGGAATTGAATGAATGAATATGTATATTTTGATATTACGGGTTTCATCGGAAAAGATAACATTCAAACTAATTTGTTTTTGCTATTAACTTTAATAGTGTGTCGAAGTACTATGTCAAAATAGTGTATGATCATAATGTTTACAATTTAACTACCGATTTGTGTGTTTGTACAATGTCCTTACAATATTTGAACCAGATTAAAAATCTAACTTGACGGAGCTCTTGTGAACTTTTTTTGATCAACTAATTACTTCAAAAAACAAATCGATGTTTCAGCATTTAAAAAATAAACAACGTATATCTCTGTCAAACGTCGTAATTATTTTTTATTTCCAAACGTTTTCAACTTTGTAGGGATAAGGAAAATATTTGATTTTTCTTATGGCTTGATCTCGATCAAAATTAACTGACTGAGTACAAGCGCGGACTTTCGATTATAATCTGTAGATACGGCACACAGTGTGGCACACGAAATTAAAACAAACACTCCCGCCAACGTTTCGAATAATTTTACCATAGTTGGAAAATCGAAATTTTTTTATCGAGTAATTAAAGAAGTTAACCAGCTTCATACCTATTTACTCACCTGACTTGAATGTTTTATTTTGAAGCAATTTCTTTTCAGCGAAGACAAATGAGGATATTTAAGAATGAGGCTTGCGCCACGAAGCCATCAGAAATTGTTTATTTGGTTTAATAACTTGTTCACAATTAATCATACTATATGTAATAATTTTATTTGAGAGAGAAAGAGACTATAAAGTGCAAGTTTATTATCCTTATATTTTATTGGTGAAATCGTAGCAGATTAGACGATGAAATAGTAAATCAAAATACTGATAAGAGTACTTGATTATTTACACATTTATTGAGTTGATCAATGAAATTGACTGCAGCGTATAGTGAGTTAGTTTATAACACATTTTATTGATATTAAAAATTTACAGAATTACATGAGAATTTGAGAAAAGTTATAAGTATTATTTACAATTTTTTNTCCGTGTGCGCACTCACACCAGTGCGCGCTGCGGCGTACGTGTATAGTCGCACACTAACGTTCACGGCTCTGTCCGTGTGCGCACTCACACCAGTGCGCGCTTCGGTGTACGTGTGCAGTCGCATACTAGCGTTCACGGCTCTGTCCGTGTGCGCACTCACACCAGTGCGCGCTGCGGTGTACGTGTGCGGCCGTACACTAGCATGCCCGTTCGGGACTTGGTTTTGCACCGGGCTGGTTTGCCGCCCCGGTGTTTTATCTACTCGTGGCCGTAGGGATGCTATGACCCTTGTGACTGGGTCATTACACCTCCCTCGCCTTTAACAAATCACGAGCTCCTGATCGTGGCGTGTTTTTTTTTTTCTTAATCTACTTTGTTGTATACATTTTTTTTTCTTTTAAATAATAGTCAGATTATGCTACGAGGATTCTTTATTTAGGCGTCGTTGATTACAATTTTCTTACTATCTAACGGGGTCGTGGGAGTGTTTTCGCTTATTACAATATTATTATTGTCATTCCGTTTAAAAGAACATCGAGAAAATTTTACTTAGTTTCTTACGTACAAAGATCAAAAGAGTTTTTTTTTTTTGTTTAACATTATTTTTTAAAACATTGAAAGCTTTTTTTTTTTGCTTATCATTTACATCATTTTGTAGATCATTGAAAAAATTTTGCTTATTACTAACCTTATTTTTATAAAAGGAAACACTTTTGCTTAAGGCACTTAACATTATTAGAAAAGAGAGGTCGGATTATAATATTATGATTTACATTGTAGCCGGATTCTCATGCTCATTCTGATATTGCGATTATTATTACAAAAAAAATTTACTTGTTTAACACTTGACTCGCCTTTATTCATCCTTTTAGCCCGCGCTCATTCGAACAGGTTGAAGAGCAAATTGCCGTCTTCGTAGCGGGGCCGACCGCAGTGGTAACACGTGGGTGGGCCATTTGCCCAGCCCCTCACGTGGCAGCGCTGGAATCGGTGGAGGGTGCCGATGAAGTGTCCGGCGAGGAAGAACCCCACTTCGTTCCCTCTCATTATGAGTTGGAATTGAAAAGGGCCGGCGTCGATGTAAATATGTCGGTTTTCGACTAACTGCGCCATCCAGTCTGCCATTGGGTCCGGTGAATGTATTGGTGCCTGTATGTTCTCGGCACCGGCTCCATCCTCCGGGGCTTCGGCTGGCGGTGGTGCTCCGTTGGAAGACATGACGGTATCTTTGATTTCTACTAATCAAATGAGTTCGCCGAGTCTTAACGCCTAGTCTCGTTAGCGGCGTGCAGCTGTTTGGCGGCTCACTGATTTTTGAATGTCCGCTCTATTTCGTATACAACTGTGCGCGAGTGTTTCCTTCGCATTCTTTATGTATCCTTATGCGTACGTGTGAGTATTCTATGCGCTTATAAATAGGAGAAGAGCGCGTCTCTTCTTTACAGAGTATCGTACAAATTAAATTTATTATGCATTTGTGCGCTACCGTACATACTTCCCTTCCCATGCCTTCGATGGACCCTCGGATTTTTTTTCTTAATCCTATCATCCGCGCTTCGAGCTGCTCTCATTTGTCAGTCTAGAAGCGCGAATTGTCTCTGTGAAATGTTTTTTGAGTGACGTTTTATGTATTTTTTTTTTGGATCTACGTACTGCTCCTTTCCCGTCGACCTAGCCGTGGTACGTGCTTACGCGCTGTTTTTCGTTTCCGATTCGTCTAGCGTTCGTCTGTCATGTTGTTAGTTATTTCGCTTTTTATTACCTTCCCTTCCCTGTAAGTCGCGATCTTCAGTATCTTCCCTCACATCAATTGTACATCTGAAATTTTGGCTTTGACTCGGAATTGAACCGAAAACCTTTACTTATGACAGTAAGGTCGTACCTATTCGCTACCAATTTTCATTTGTTCAAAAATTAATTTAATAAAATGCAAGATTTTAGGCTACTTTTTTTTTTCATTTTCTTATTATCCACTTTGTTTATTCGTTATCGTTCTACATATCCATCGAATAGTTCATTTATTTCTTTGCTTTTATTAATGATTATATGCTGTTAGCGTTTTAACTAGTTATGGGTTATTCTCTTTCCACATTTTGATTTTACTCCAACTGAAGCGGTAGATTAAAGTAACCAACTAAGACTTGATGGTAAAGGTATAACATTGAGGGGGATATCTTATCATTCATTTTATTCTTTTATTAATTTTTATTATCATTTTTTTTTTTTTCTAAAACGCGTAAGAATTTGTGAGATGTTTGTACTTAAAGGTTTATCATCTTTGTGTAAATGACATGCTCAGCATCATGCACCGTCGTAAATTTTACCGCTTTTAAGTAAGATGCGTTTAATTCGTTAATCATAGTTCATTCAACTGAGGCACTTTGAATAATTGAGTTTCACAATTTTCCATAATCTATCATAATCTTTCTCTTCCACGTGGCGCACCTTCCGTTGGCGCCAATACTTTCATTATAATAAATTCCTCATCGTTAACCACAAATTCTGTACTTCCAATTTCATTTTTCCGCTAACGAATTGGACGCTTGCACTTGTTTAACTTAGGTGCATCTACTTGCTGTGCATTTCTGCCTCTTCCAAATTCCTACAATCATTATTTTTTGTTAAATTTTGAACTTTGACTTCCATCCTCGGCTACAAAAGAAAATATTTTCTTTCTGTAATTTGTTTATATATCCTTTTATTTTTAGTCTATTTGTTTTATGTTAAACTTTAATGCACGACTTTTGTAGTCCGCTCGCGTAATTTATTTTAGAATTGATTTAAGTTAGTTATTTTTCGCTTCAACATGGGAT